GCTGTGTATTTAAAACATGGCGGTTCCTTTGTTTTCATTCTGGCTTGTTGCGTTAACGAATGATGGATCTCTGTAAACCAATAGCGTTCAGCTGCGCTTCTAGCTCCACCTTTTGGTACCCTTTGTAAGGGTGCCGAAAAAGTGGTACGGTACGGTTTGGTTTGGTACGCCTTTTGACAGTGAAAATGGCCATAAAAGCCACCGTACCGTACCACTAGTCCCTTATTTATCAAAGGTCACCACACATAATGAACCACCAACTTTTGGACTGTGGGGGAAACTGGACAGAGGAAACCCACGCAAACACAAGAAGAACATGCAAACTCCACACAAAAATGCCAACTGACCCAGCCAGGACTCGAACCAGCAAACTTTTTGCTGTGAGATGACAGTGCTAACCACTGAGCCACCGTGCCGCCCACAAAATGCAATCTATTAAAGTAAATGCAAAACCGAAAGAACATAATTTACATATGCGGATTAAAACGAGGCGGACGTACTGAACAATTCAACATTAGGTCATACTGATTATTGTGGCATCCCTAGTTAATTAGCAAACAATTTAACCATGTTATATTTACAACAGAATGTGCAGTCTTTTAATCTTAACCAGTGTCAAAGGAGCTGCGCACATCCCCAGAGCCATCCCAGATTCAGTCCTCTGGTGAAACTCTGACAGAGATCAATGCGTCGACCGTTTGCAATCATAGAGGAAGTGGTTATTGGACCACCTGAGGGTCTTGCTGTTACGTCACATTAAGGAAATGAACAGACTGGGGAGCCATTTTTAGATTGGCCAGTTAGCCGTCGAGAGTCCCTCAGAGTTTATCATCCACTGCTAAATATCGCTCAACAATACGCTCCTTTTTTTTCTGGAATCCTCCAATTTCCCCTGCGCCCTGAGAGCAGGATCAGTCATAGTTGCTGTTTAAATAAGCCAGATTCATCACAGGCCTTCAGTCATGATTCTTACTTTCCGTTCATCACTCTTTCTGTCCAGATCTAGTCTTCATGTCAATTAAAAAAGGGGTTTTGGGCTCTGTGACTAATCGGTTTATTTAGATAAATTGTAGTGATACTGGCAAAACCTTCAATAACTATATTACATGGTGAAAAAGGGATAATAACCTGCAGTTATTATTTTTTAAGTGCTGTTTCAAACAGATTTAAGGCTGTAGGTTATTTACATGCATATTTTGTTTAGAAAATTTATATTTTAACCAATTTTATGTATATGTACAGTATATATGAAATATATATTCATATATATTAATATGTACACTCACCAGCCACTTTATTAGGCACACCTTACTAGTACAGGGTTAGACCCCCTTTTGCCTTCAGAACTGCCTTAAACCTTCGTGGCATAAATTCAACAAGGTCATGGAAATATTCCTCAGAGAATTTGCTTCATATTAACATGATAGCATCACACAGTTGCTGCAGATTTGTCGGCTGCACATCCATGATGCGAATCTCCCATTCCACCACATCCCAAAGGTGCTCTATTGGATTAAGCTCTGGTGACTGTGGAGGCCATTTGAGTGCAGGGAACTCATTGTCATATTCAAGAAACCAGTCTGAGATGATTCGTGCTTTATGAGATGGTGCATTATCCTGCTGGATGTAGCCATCAGAAGATGGGTACACTGGGGTCATAAAGGGATGGACATGGTCAGCAACAATACTCAGGTACTAAAGTTTGCCAAGAAAATATCCCCCACACCATCACACCACCCACTACCAGCCTGAACCGTTGATACAAGGTAAGATGGATCCATGCTTTCATGTTGTTGACGCCAAATTCTAACCCGACCATCTGAATGTCACAGCAGGAATTTGGACTCATCAGACCAGGCATGTTTTCCAATCTTCTATTGTCCAGTTTTGGTGAGCCTGTGTGAATTGTAGCCTCAGTTTCCTGTTCTTAGCTGACAGGAGTGGCACCCTGTGTGGTCTTCTGCTGGTGTAGCCCATCCGCTTCAAGGTTGGATGTGTTGTGTGTTCAGAGATGTTTTTTTGCATACCTCGGTTGTAACGAGTGGTTACTTGAGTTACTTGAGTTGCCTTTCTATCAGCTTAATCGGTCTGGTCATTCTCCTCTGACCTCTGGCACATTATATATATATATATATATATATATATATATATATATATATATATATATATATATATATATATATATATATATATATATATATATATATATATATATATATATATATCATTAATTGATAGTACCATTTTTGTTTTGTTTGTTTCTGTTATGCATATTGGCAGAGATATTTTTCACAAAATTACATTAAAATTAAAACTAAAGGGAGAATTCAACCAAAATTGAAGAGTTACTTTTACTCCCTCTCAAGTGGTTCTAAACTTTTATGAACGTTTTCTGCTGAAAAACAAGATATTCTGGATTTTGGTGGGGGGAAAACAGAAAATGACATCAATAATATAGGGGGAAACACTATGAGTTTAAATTTAGTAAATTATGGTCCAATTTTTATTTTCGGGTGTACTATCCCTTTAAAAATAAAAAGCGTATTTTTTGTTATAAGATAAGCTTTGGAAATAAATAATTCAGGCTATTATTTCTTCAGTGTGCAATATTTAATATTACAAAGTGTTTAGTGTAAAATAAAAAAATAAAAACATTTATTTTTGAAGCATTTGGTGTGTTGAGATCCTTTACTGCAGCTCCAAAACAGTTTGGTTAACAACATTTTTCAAAAAAACTTTTTTATATTTCTAAAAAAAAACAAAAAAAAAACAAAGGTTGGAAATGATGCATGTGAAGATGAAAAAGTATTACCGAACTAACTTTTTTATTCATAATAAAAAATTATTTTTTAAAGGATGAAACTACAAATACACTAAAACTACAAGTAAACGAACGTTACTGTGGTGGTAAACGAAACATTCTAATGAGTCATTTATTTAAAGGAGTCATTTATGAAATGATTCCATGGTCCGTTCATAAAGAGAACCATAGCTTCATTTCTTCATTAAATTACTGTGTTTTAGTCTGAGATACAGTCTTGCTGCTGCTTAATATTTTTGTTGGCAAAGTTTACAGAAAAAATGTATTGTTTCTAAAATATTACAGGGTTTTAATATTAAATGAAATGCTCTACTGTTTCACAGTGATGGGTTACAGTTGGAAGGGTATCCGCTGTGTAAAACATATGCTGGATAAGTTGGCGGTTCATTGTGCTCTGGTGAGCCCTGATGATAAGGGACTAAGCTGAAGAAATGCTGTGTACAATCAATAGCACTTTTGCCATTCAGGACAAAAACAGGCCTTGTGTGATATTGAATTATATTATATTATTTGCATTATATATTAAATGACTATGTATATTCTATGTTTTCAGAAGAAGTGAGGTAAGATTTCAACACCTAATCCAGCAGATTAAAGTAAAACGTGTGGAAACGTTTTGCTGAGTTTGACTGCCATCTAGTGGCTAAAGGCTCGTTTACAGTTAAACTTATGACTGCACACACAGTATCAACTTCCATTTTTGTTTCCTCAAAATAGCCTAAATCAGCAATAGCTGGAACCATCAGTCATGACATCTTTTCCATTCATCAGTCACTACTAAATATTCCACAGTCAAGTGTTAGTGAAATTATAACAGAGTGAAGCAATAAGAAAAAACAGGAACTCAGCCAGGACTTTCAGAACTTTCAGCTACAGACCTCCAGGCCGTTTTTAATTGAATAACATCAAGAATCACTGTGCAAGTCAAGTACAAAAAAATGTTAAGAAAATGTCAAAGGAATGTCAAAGGCTAGGGGAAGATATAAACAATATCACAGGAATATATTAAATGATATCCAGGCTTGTACAATAGAGGGTAACATAGACTCAATATAATGCTTTATTTTATTTTTAAATGCAATAAAACTTGGATTTTTACCTGAAAATGTGCATTTATGAATAAGAAATTTGGCTGTTAAAATAAAGAAAATGTATGGGCCTTTTTGTCTCTTAAGTTTTTAAAACTTCCTAAACAAACATCTTTCAAATGTAAACTAATATTTTCATTTTAAATTTTCTCTGTCCAAAAATGAAATGCTTAAATCTTCAATGAACAAAAATTGACTCCTCTCAAGTTAATTCAAGTCGAGTCAAGTCAATAATTGCTTTATCGGCATGATACACATGTATTGCCAAAGCATTTATAAAGTTTAAATTAAAAGAGCATCGATTCATATAAAAATAAAAATAAAACATAGTAAATATAGTAAACAGTAGTATAGTATTATAATAGGCTACATAGTATAATAATAATAATAATAATACAATAAAAAATATTTAAAAATAAAATAATAAATCTGAATAAATTGTACATTTAACAATTAACATTTATGGATATTTATGTTTTGACTCTCTTCCCTATATATATATATATATATATATATATATATATATATATATATATATATATATATATATATATAGGTGTAGGACCAGCGGGGTTGCATGTGGGGGTTCTTCAATGGCAGTTTAATAGCACTACCTCCAAAATAAGTTTTAACATGTTTCTCTGGCCTAAATTAAATTATTGAAGCCTTCAATGAAAAAATAAATATCTTTAATTTTTAAAATCATTGTTTACTAGGGGGTTCTTTAATGGCACATAATCCTGTAAAACTTCCTAAACGCGGCTCTCACAAAAACAAAACGAGTTTTAAAATACTCATCTGACCTGAAATTAGATGCTTAAAGTCTTCAATGAACAAAAAATTACCGTCTCTATATATTTTAACAACATCATTGTTTTATATTGTTTACTATTCTAAAATTGGATTTGTCTGTCATCATGACAGCAGGGCTGACTGCCTACAGTTAATGCCAACGCCTAATAACTACATTCCAATCAATATTTTGTTTTATTAACATTTAAACAAAATAATCTTTAACATAACAAAGCCTTCAAATGTACGGCAAATGAAGCTGAGGCGCACTTTAAGTACGTCATTTCTGCGTTGTCATCGAACTACAATTCCCATGATGCCCGAACAGGACTCACTGAAGCAAACATGGCGGCAGGTGAGTACATTTCGCATGCTAGCAGCTTCAAAGATTTCTTGTTTTACTGTAGTACAGATTTGTCACATTTTAAAGCGACACAATCAGTCGGAGACCATGAGAGGACTTATATTGTATCGGTGTATTAAAATTTAATGAATGTATAATGTGCGAATGGGAGAATGACCTTGGTCTCGCAGCAGCTGTCGTTGAATTTAGCAGCTCAACATTTAACGTTTTGTTTGTTGTTTTGTACAGTTGGCAGGTTGTTGAAGTATATGTGGGATAAGGAGCCTGTGATTGCAGTGTCCTGTGTGATCGGAGTGGCAGGTGAGTGCGAGATTAAGGTACCTTATGAATATTCATCTACTTCTTTTTGATTGTAACTTATGTGTTTTGCTGTTCATTCAGCCTGCATTGTGCCGTTCGTGAGCCCTTATACAAAATACACAGCAATGATGAACAAGGCTGTTCCGTACAATTATCCAGGTATGTTATTCTTCACTTTTAAAGCTAAACATCTCATCTCTCCTGTGAAAACTGTTACCATGTAACGCAGCTTTAAAGGGGGCAGTTCACACAAAAATAAAAATTAGCTTTTTAATATTCTCTTATAGCCTCTGCACGGTATCAATTGCGAATTATTTCACTATATCAGAAAAAAATGATATTAACCTCAGCTATAGAGCTGCACAATAAATCGTTTAACCATCGATATCGCAATGTACTATTGAGGTAAAGTTGGTTTAAAATTCACACATTCAGACTTCCTCCTTAATAATATATTTTCAGAAAAGTATTCTTTGCAAAGTACTAATAATGAAATCATATTAACAGCCAAATGACATAGTATAACATTGTTCACAGTCAATTAAATAGTGCTAATGCTGTTTTGAAGAAATATTTACATGTGATTTCTGTCATTATATTCAAAGTACCGTGGTAAACAATATAGGGAGCATGTCACAAGTTGTCACTAAATGAATGTGCAAATATGAAACCAAATTTACCTCAATCAATGTGGTTGGGATCATAGTTCACCAGACATTACAGTTAACAACATAGTGGAGTAATTTCATTGTTTTACCTTGGAGTGAAAGTTTATTATTTGCATGTATTTTGAAGACCTGACTGTAAGAATTTGAAGCAAATTTAAGCCATTTGGGCACAATAAATGTAACATTTGCCGCTTAAAGATCAATTGTACAATATTAAAGTTTATATTCAATTAAAACAATAGTGCTGTCCTTATTATCATACGGTGATCATTTAATTTCTGCTTCTGAATACTGTTTGACTCCCTCAACTGTTTCTCTGTTGAATTTAACTTCGCGTATCAATTTTTTTAATGTTATTTTATGGAGATACGCTTTCCTAGAGTCATCCCAATCCATCTAAAATTATGAATTCTTTACAAGCTGTTAAAGTCAACTGCTGAAATTCCATTTATATCACTATGTGTGTGTGTGTGTGTGCGTGTGTGTGCGCGCAATGTCTGTTTGTTTTCTCCAATACCGTGCAGCCCTACTTCGTATTGTGCTGCAGTTTTATTTTTTATGTATTTATTTAATGCCTGCCAATGTAAATAAGATTTATATGATCGCAACAGTATTCTAAGTTCGAATCCCAGCTCCCACTTAATTCCCTGTCTATCAAATAAAGACAATATGGCAATAATGCCAATTTAAAATTGCACAAATTATTACACGATATAAAAAAAAGATTTCTAAAATCAGTTTCAAAAATTACATGTATTTTTATTTTAGTCAAACTATAATAATTGAGACTTTACGAAATATGTTAAATTATATAAATTGTTTTGCCTCATTAAACAGCATTTCTTTTTATATAAATAAAATGTGCTAATAATTTTGTCTGTGGTACATTTTAAAAAGCTTGACCGAGTGAAAAGAACATGTTTAAATGTTTTTGGTGGGGAGCTGTGTTTAGTTACTATAGCAGAGATGGGAAAAGGGGTGGAGTTCTGTGTTATGGGCGTGTTTGTTTTGGTGCTTTCAAACATCAACATTTTGCACCTTCAAGGTTTCATATTCGAGTCAAATAAGTGCAAGTGCAATTGTCACTATTATTGATATTCTGCTGAAACCAGAATTTTAATGATATCATTTGGAACAGGGCTATAGTTTTGCTACAATTTAACAAAAATTTCCCAATATGTTTTTTTTAAATATACAGTTGAAGTCAAAATTATTATTATTATTATTTTTTTCCAAATATTCCCCAAATGATGTTTAAGATTTAGGAATTTTTGCCTTTCTCCAACTTGCCTAATTAACCTAGTTAAGTCTTTAAATATCAGTTTAAGCTGGAACTAATGTCTTGCAAAATAATTATGTACTGTAATCATAGTAAAGACAAAATAAATTGGTTATTAGAAAGGAGTTATTGAAACTATTATGCATAGAAATGTGTTGAAAAAAAACTTTCTGTTAAACAGAAATTGGGGAAAGATATACAGCAAGGCTAATAATTCTGACTACAGCTGTATTGTAAAGTTAATTCACATATTTAAGATTTAATATTAAAATGTATTGTTATTTTACGTGCATTTATTCTCAACATGCACGACCAGTTATTCAGTGGTTGTTAGTTTAACCTTTAGATTGCTCTATCTCTCTTCAGTACCTGTTCGAGATGATGGAAACATGCCGGACGTCCCAGCACATCCGTCTGACCCACAGGGAAGCAACCTGGAATGGCTGAAAAACCTGTGAGAAGTCCTACACAATCCTGTACAGTCCACATCCACCTTTACTTCAGTCTCAATAATAAAACTCTTTATTTGATTATCTTGTCATTTTTCATAATTATTATAGGTTTCAGACCGGAGACCTCCATGTGGGAGGGGTTTTACTGCATGTAGGCTGGGCGACCCCCAAGTGGGAGGGACTTATGCCGCAAGTGGGCTGGATTGCTGTTGTTGTAGACATTAATAAAACACAACAGGTTACTGTGAGGTTGGGTTTAGGGTTGGAGTAGGTGTAGACATTCATTAAACACTATAGGTTGGACTCTATGTCATATAAATGACAATAATAAAATGAAAACTCCAGGTTTATACAGCCCACTTGGAGCTCAAGTCCTACTAACTTCTAGCTGGCCTGGCTCCAACCTCCGTTTATATCCTTCTCGTTTCACCTGCCAGATCAACAATAAACACCAGCCATATAGCTGATATAAAGCTGGAACAGAGACCGACACGCATAAAACGTCAGAGATTAACTTTGTTTATTGTAAGATCATTTAGAAAAGGATATAGTTATGACATTAAAACATTCAAGAATCAAAAATATGACTGATCCACAGAGACTCTGAATCCAGTGCTCATTTACACTGTAAAACATATCTGTAAGTTAGCAGTTTGACATAAATTCTGTATCATGTTTTTTTTTTCCATGTCTATTTATGCTTTTAAATTGCATTATGGTTCCTTGATATCAATCTCAAGAACTTTTAGCCTTTAAAAGTAAAAATATATCAGTGTAAAGTGATATTGTCTGGGCTGCTGTTGTACATTACGCTACAAAAACCTTGTAATAAACTGCCAGTTCGTTTTTGTTTTATTACAGATGTATTTCTCTGTATATTATTTTTTACACATTCTATTATTTCAAACTACTAAAATGTCAATGGAAGTTAAACTGTAGAGTTGAATTTTCAACGCCAAAAGTCGGCAGAGCAGAGATCGAGCTCCCAAAATGCAATTCACAGCCGTAAATAAACTGAAAACACTTGGGAATCACAAAATACCGAAACTGTAACAGACATCGTTTTTAGTGTAGATGTGTTTGTAGCTATATGAGAGTTTATTACTCAGATCCCGTATTCACACAACATCTTAAAGCTAAAAGAAGCGGATGTCAATCCTAAATTGAGGGCTTAAATGTTTTCACAGTAAAACGTCGGCATAGTGATCACAAACTATTCTAAAATGTGCTATACTCCTGTGTGCCTTTGAAAGAAAAAGTTATCACAAGTAATCAGATGTTTTCCATATGCCAAGAAATATGTTTTTGTTTCAAAATACACACAAAAAAACTTTTTAAAAAAAATTATCTCAAATATATTTATGTAAACGTGTTCTTTAAATACAAATTTGACCGTTTTTATGTGTTCAAAATATTATATTTATTATTATAATATTATATTAAAATCTTTATTGTCTGTAACATAAAAAGCGACGAACACACTTTATTAAATACAATCCTGCAATTGCAATTCTTCATTTAAATGTGGCAACGTTTATTGTTAAACCTTTATTTGAATATGAATAATTCACTCATTTTCATTCATTCATTTCATTTTCCTGTTTTACGCAGCGGTTGCCCTTCCAGCTGTAACCCTGTACTGGAAAACACCCATTCACTCTCATACACTACAGACAATTTAATTTATTCAATTCACCTATTCACCTTATTCTTCGCTGACGAGCGGATGCAGCCATTTGAATCTTTTTGGCTTGAGACTTCCGGTCACATTCACTTCCATTCATTTTTAGACATTAAAAACTGCTCATTACACTGCTTGATGTTGCAAACTGATATTTTCTTATTATATTATTCTACTTGGTCTGTACAGTAATGCAAACATTTCTTTGTAGAGCAAGTAGTTTGACCGTTTTCTGCCGTTTATTATTCCTAGTCATTTCTCTCATAGGCGACTGAATCTAAAGTTTTAAAACAATCGGGAAAACAGGCGCACTTCCACATTTTAGGATAAGGTCAATAGCGCATGTCTTTGCACTGTGTGGGAAACTTTGGATGGGGAGAACATGCAAGCTCCACACAGAAATGCTAACTGGCTCAGCGGGGACTCGAACCTGCGAACTTCTTGCTGTGAGGCAACACCGTGCCACCCCGATATCCATAATATAGCATAATATCATGCTCTATTAAGTTCCCATGAATAAAACTTCCCATCAGCCTATCACTGTGTGCATAGTTAATGTTCATGATGACATCACGCATAATAATGAGCTCAACCCAACCCTCACTCTCGGTGTCCGATTTCTCCAGTAAAGTTTTAAGATAAACCTCTGAACTAAAAACTCTTCTGTTTAGGCAGAACTTAAAGGTTTTAGGTCAAATGTTTTGTGAATACGGGCTCAGAATAAGTCAAACTGATGTGTTCAGGAGTCTCTGGGATATTTAATAAAAGTACAACATCAGCAGGGATCAAATCTGCTCAACCGTGAACATGTTGGCTCGGAAACTAAACACAAAGTCTAACATGCAGCCTGAGAGCACGTAAATGTGTTCATTTCAACTTGGAAATGCATTCTGGGATGACATGACTGTAAAAAGAGTGGAAAACAAGCAGATCTGGATCTCTAATCAAGTGTAAATGAGCTGAAGATCATCATTAAACCCGCATCTGATCATGCGATTACAGAACACAGTTACGTTTGCATGTGTATATACAGTATTTAAGTTTTTTATATAACAGAAGAGTTAATAAAGGAAATTATTCAAACATATATGAACAAAACGATCATCAATAATATTTAGTTTTACTGGATTTACTCTAAAGTCTTGTAATCATAAGCAAATATTTTGCTATGACAATTCAGAAACCGTTTCATTATATTCCAAATAGTAAAAGATGATTGAGTTTCTATCTCACAGGCAAGCTTTTTTTAAATCAGAATCGTGAGTTAAAAAAGGTAATTGTGTTTTATTTTACAATTGCAAATTTCTATACATATTTCAGAATTTGAGCAAAGATAATTGAGAGTTTCTATCGCACATTAAAGCGTTTTTCAAATTCAGAATTTTGAGTTAAAATGGTAAAGGAAAGGGTAATTGTGATTTTTTTTTTTTCACACTTTCCCAATCGCAAATTTCTACAGATTTTTGAGAATTTTCTTCTCAGAGTTTATTTCATGCAACTGATACTTTTATCAGAACTGCAAGGATAAAACATTGTCACGGCAGTGTTTTTTTTTTATTCTGAAGCTATATATATATATATATATATATATATATACATACACATATATATATATATATATATATATATATATACATACATACATACATATATATATATATATATATATATATATATATATATATATATATATATATATATATATATATATGTGTGTGTAGAACAGTTCTGTCTGGTTCTCGAATCTGATTGGCCGATAGCCGTGCGATATTCTGCAATAACAGCACTCGTACAGCCTCTTCAACCTTAATCCGCCTACATAGAGTAACAGCAGATCAACAGACTCACTACAGTTTGACAAATATTGCTGCTAATGGACAACATAATGTACTTTTAAGGCTTTTTAAGGCAAGAATGTAGTTGTAAGATTGCAACTATGCAGTTTATTTATAAGGATAGGGCCTATTTTAAATATTTCTAATTTTGGAGCACGTCAGCATCCATCAGCCTGTCATACTCTCAGCAAAGCTAAGACAGTTGACGTTTCCCCCGCAACGTTTCACACATGAGCCCTTAAGGAGAAAAACTCAATTTCAAACTACAGCTGATCAAATCATTATAAAACAGGCAAGTGACTTTTTAAGTCGATCTCCGTGTTTTGTATGTTGTGCTGTATTTATACCATAGTCTGGTGGTGTTTTTGGTAGTGTTTGCTTTGCTTTGGCTTTTTCGGGATTAATTATTGTGATATCCTGTTTGCAACAGAGAAATACTGAGCAATCTCTGTAGACTTCATGCAGTTTAGCCTTATAATCTTAAAATGTGAGCTAAATCACCTGTTTTGTCATCACTTTATGCTAGAGAATCGTTCAAATATTAGCTCTAAAGTGACGTTGGTGAATTAGTAAAGGTTTCTGCTGTTCTGTCGTCAGCTGCAGATGTGAATGAACTACGGAAGAAAGTAGTTCCTAATACTAAAGGATTTTTCGACTCTCCGTGTTTGATTTTCTTTTTTATTTACACGATTGTGTCATCGAACTGTTGTATAAACGCAATATCACACTCGTTGCAGTGCGATATGGCTGTATGTCATCACTGGTGGAACACCAATGAACGCACGCCTCCCACCAGTGCCGATATACAGCCACATCACATTACTACTTGTGTGATATTGCTCATATATAAAAACAGAAGTGTAACTAAGCCTTTTTATGTTCATTTAAAACAACAGTAATCAATAAAAAGATAATTCTTCTCTTGTAATTGCATGTATATAATCTCACATTTGAGAATTTCCTTCTGAGAAAATTTATCTTGGAACTTTTTGAATTACAAGGACACAAGTCTGTAAGATAAAAGCTTATGATAATAATTAGCTTGTGATGATAAAAGGAAACAATTGTGAGACAGTACATGTAGTTTTTCTATTATTATTGGGAGCTTTCATTCATTCATTCTCCTTCGGCTTAGTCTCTTATTTATCAGGGGTCGCCACAGCAGAATGAACCGCCCACTATTCCAGCATATGTTTTACGCAGCATGTTTAATTAAATTCACCTATAGCGCATGTCTTTGGACTGTGGGGGAAACTGGAGCGCCCAGAGGAAACCCACACCAACACAGGGAGAACATGCAAACTCCTGGAAGCTTTTATAAAAACTTAATCGTAACTAAAAGGATTATTTATGTTAATTTTAAACCACAGGACACAAATGTTTATGCCAAATTGATGAGCGCAAAAAAAACCCATGATGTTTATTCTTGTTTTGTACACTGGTATTTTAGTTAATCTTACGAGAATTTACCTCAGATATCTTGTTTTATATCTTATAACTCACAATTGCATGAGGAAAAAAGTCTGTGAGATAAAAACCCAAAATTGTGAGACATAAAATAGTTTGTTTTTATATTCCAGAGGAGAAAATATGCTTTCATTATGAAAAACTTACGTTACTGATTATTTTTTATGTTCATTTTAGACCGCAGGACTTAATTTGTCCCAAACCGGTGCCAAAAAATGGGGGGGGAAAAATTAATAAAAGCACCTCCAGATGCAGCGCTTCACCTCCATCACGTCCTCCATCACATCTCCACTTTCCAGAACTTTCTTTCACATCTCTCATCCTTCACATCCTCAACTCTCTACTCTACAGCTTCATTTCTGGACGTCTGGAGTTTAACACACTGCATTAGACAGACAGAAGAGCTGAGAGCCTCCTCACACACACATCACATCATATCATTTACAGCACATTCAAAACCCTTCAGTATTTAAAATCCATTCTGTGCTCACATCAAACCTGCTCCTCCTCCAAGAATGCTCTTCTACACCCTGCCTTAAGCAATCAAAATTATAATAAACATTTGTTGTTGTTGTTTTTGGAGAAATCTCAAAAAGTAACTCAAATAAAGGAATAACTCACCCAAAGACGATGCCAGCATTGTATGAGCTGAGCATAAGAAAAAATGACAGCATGTGTGGTCGATAATGACTACATTTACATTTGGAAAACTATTTCATTAACCCTTTATAGGGCACGTATGGGTAAAAAGGTTATTAAAAGACTTATGACTTGAAAATATATATGATGTAATCAGTGTCATTAACACATAAGCACCAATAAAGGGTTAAAAAAGATAATTAGACAATAATATAATGAATGCATTTGCATACCAATGCAAGATTCACACACGTATCACTCTGACTTCATCTAAAATGTTTTATAAAACTAAATTGGGCTCCGCTAACATCTCTACCATGGGAAATATATAAGTTTGTCATCGTGTTCATGTGAATTCACTGGATTTCAGTGATGTAGACATCAGATATCACAGTAAACGTGTTCAAATACTGAATAATCTGTTCAGAATATGAAAGCAAATGTTTATATATATACACAGTTAAAGTCAAAATGATTAGCCCTCCTGTGATTTTAGTTTTCTTTTTCAATTATTTCCCAAATGATGTTTAACAGAGCAAGGAATTTTTAAGAGTAGTTCCTATAATATTTTATCTGCTGGAGAAAGTTTTGTTTTAATTCGGCTAGAATAAAAGCAGCTTTTACAATGTTTAAAACCATTTTAAGGTCAAAATTATTACTTCAACTGTATATTTATATAGGCCGTTGAAAACAAAATTATTAGCCCTCCTGAAATTTTTATTAGTATTTTTTTTTTTTTATATTTTCCAAGTGCTGTTTTTACTAGTTTTAGTAGCTAATTTGGAGTTTGAGGCTGGACAGGTCGCTGTTATTAACGCAAAAATGAATTCCAAAGATTATTAAGACATTTTTCAGGAAAACTGAGTGGTCCTCAAGCACTGAGCAGCAGATCAATTAGGATCGGACCACACAAAAAAAATCATGAATTATTTCTGTTTTATTTATTATCTGAGTCTAAAGGATCTTTTATTTTGAAAACTCTTTTATTTTGAAAAATGTCTGAATTCTCTCGCTTCTATCTCGGTCACTTAAGTGCCCAAATTTAACCCACAAGCAGCAAAATGAGCAAGAAAAAGTCCTCTTTGGAAAGTTTCTTTAAGGGGAAAAGGCCCAGTGAAGGGCCCGCGAACTGCCAAGGAATAGATCCGCAACCCATTTGTCTTAAAATCAGGTGAATCCTCCATGTCTGGGCAAGAAGATCAACTGCTGGAGATCATAAATGATGGCAGCCTTCAAAGCTGTGTTCACACCAGACGTAAAATGTGCAAATAAATCACATGTTATTAGATGTGTGAACAATTTGAGCCAAATCCACTTTATTTGCATCAAAATCACTTCACAATAGATGCAGATTCGCACCATGGGCGGATTCCCATCATTTCATTGCTAAATGGCTAACAAGGATTTTATTGAGAGAATAGCTGTGTTTATGTGCTTTAGTAAGGCTGAAAAACAGCATTGATTCGTTTGGAGCTGTGTCTGAGTCCACTAGATCCATTCTGAGGTGCACCCAGCTCTGTTATGAGCACATAAACTCTTCTTTAAACTATACCTGGATGATGGAAGCTTGACGCTTCTTCCGCATCTGGTGTGAACGCAGCATTAGGGGTCATTTGCATGTGTCTTTTCGAGAGTTTGCGCAGGTTCATTATTTATAATGGAGGTGCGTGGCTTGCACTTCCAGACGCACACAGTTGAATGAATACCAGGAGTATCAAGTGACATCAACTGACCAATCACATTCAGCTTGTATGGAATATACACATTTCGTAGACTAATTATCTCAGACAAACACAGAGGAACAAAACACTGCAGTGCTTTGTAATCTGCAATGAAAAAGGCTGGGGACCACTGCTTAAAACCATCTGAAGGAACAGAGAATGGGGATGCAACAGGACAACGATCCAAAGCATAGATGTAAATAAACATCAGAATAGCTTCAACAGGAGAAAATACATATTCTGGAGTGGACCAGTCAGATTCCTGATCAGAACCCGATTGAGATTTTTGTTAGACTTTTTTGATAGACTTTAATAACAAATTTCTTATAACAAATTTCTTATGTCACATAATATTATACTTGGTAATTTTGCAGGACAAAGTGCAATTAAAATACCTGGTTAATTAGTTTGATTTATGGCAAATTTAATTTATCTATTTTTTTTTTTTATTTTTTACTTTATTTCAGGGAAACTAAAAGAAATAAGATTTGCTCCAAAAATAATGAAAATAGTGTAAAAAAAATATACTTGCTCTGTTAAGCTGCACTTGAGTAATATATTTGTTTTTTAATTTACAAGGGGGCTTATCAGCTTGTCTTTAACTCTATATATTACTAATATACACTCGATCTGCTAAATGATCTTAACACATTTAACTGCACCTAATTCTCTGTTTCTGTCAGCAAAAGTGTAACTCCTGCCTCTGGAGGGTTCAGCAGATCATCAAGGCATCTTTGCAGTAATTATCCGATCATCTTTACTGTATCAGAGGAGCGGAGCGGTCGTTGGTCACCGTCTTCCTGAGCTGAATATGAGCGAATGGGTTGATCCTGTGAAAAAATTAAATTAACTAATCCATCAGACTAACCAACAATAACCAGACTTGATTAGTCCTTTACCTGGTAGGGGATGGAGGTGGAGGAGAAAAATCAGTGGACATCTGGAAAACATAAAGAAAACACACATCAGTATACAGTATATCTCAGTATATGTTCTCAATCATGAAAGAGACAAAAGTGAATGTGCAATGGAAAAAAAAAATCATCCAGAAATGAGATGCTATAGGCAAACAAGCATTCTAGAATGAATTAAGCAATGAATGGACTGGATTGAATGAATGAATGAATGGAATGAATGAATGAATGAATGAATGAATGAATGGAGTGCAATAAAATAATGAATGAAAGAATGAAAGCATGAATACAATGAAAGAGTGAATGATTAAATAATAAAATAATGCATGGAGTGAATTAAAGAATGAATGTGAATGAAATAATGGAATGAATGAGTGTATAATTGAATTTTTAAATGATGAATGGATGGATGGATGGAAGGATGAATGAATGAATGAAGTGCAATAAAATAATGAATAAATTTTGTAGAAGGAAAGAATGAATGAATAAATGAATGAATGAATGAATGGATGGATGGATAAAAAATGAAATAATTTAAGGAATGACTAGAATGAATGGATGGAATGGAGCAAATTAACGAATGGGATGAAATTAAAGAATGAATGGAATGAATGAACAGAAAGAGTGAATGATTGAAATAATGGATGGATAAATGGAAGGATGGATAAATGGAGTGCAATAAAATAATGAATGAATGCAAAGGAATAAATGAAATAATGAATAGATGGATGAATGAAGGAATGGAATGAAATGAAAGAGTGAATGAATGAAATAATGAATGGATGGATAAAGAGTGGAATAAAATAATGAATGAATGGAATTAATAGAAAGAGTGAATGACTGAATGAATTAAACAATGGATGGATAAATGAATGAAGTGCAATAAAATGATGAATAAATGTGAATGAATGAATAGAATGGAATGAAACGAAACTGAATGAATGAGTGAAATAATGGATGGATGAATGGAGTGCAATAATATAATGAATGAATTAATTATTTAATGGAAGGGAAGAAATGTGAATATATGAATGAGTGAATGAATAAAATAATGAATAAATGGGTGAATGAATGAATAAAAAGCAATAAAATTACGAATGAATTGAATAATTACATGGGATGAAATTAAAGAATGAATGGACGAATTAATTTAATGCTAGTTAATTTTATTAAATAATTTAATAAATGAAATGAAAGAAAAAAGTATTAAAATGTGAATGAATGGAATGAAATTAATAAATGGGATGAATGAATTAATTTATTAAAGGAATGAATTAATAAATGGACTGAAATGAAAGAGTGAACAAATGTAAATATATGAATGACTGGATGAATGAATATAATTAAAAGAAAGAATAAAGGAATGTGAACATATGAATGAACAAATGACTGGATGATTTAATAGAATTAAAAGACAGAATGAATATATGAATGAATGAATGGCATGAAATGAATGAATGAATTTATTTATTAATGGAATGGATTAATAAATTGAATAAAAAATGAATGGATGAATGAATGAAAAGAAAGAATGAACAAATGTGAATATATGAATGACTGGATGAATGGAGTTAAAAGAAATAATGAACATATGTGAACATATAAAGGAATGAATTAATAAATTGATGAATGAATGATTGAATGAAATTACATAATAAATGGATAAATGAATTAAATGTATTAATGAAATTAATAAATGTAATGAAATGAGAGAATGAATGGATGAATAAAATTAAATGAAAGAATGAACAAATATGAATGAATGAATGAACGAATGGTATGAAATTAAAGAATAAATGGATGAATTAATTTATTAATGGAATGAAATAATGAATGGATGAATAAATGGAAGGATATGAAAAAACGAATGGGATGAAATGAAAGAATGAATGAATGGATGAATGAATGTAACAAAATGGATTAAATAATGTGAATATGCAAATTAATGAAAGTAATTAAATGAAATAATTAATTAATGGAATGAATAAATTAATAGAATTTATCAATAGAATTGGAATGTAATGGAATAAAATAATAAATTAATGTAAATATCTGAATGAATGAATGAATGAATGAATGAATGAATGCAGAATCAGCCATAAACAGTGCAGATGTCTGCTGAAGCCTGCGGGTGTGTGTGTTGTTGCCGACCCTGTCCTTGAAGCGCAGGCGTGGGCTGGTCCTGCCGGTGTCTGGGTTCATCATGCTGTAGGGTCTGGGCCTGAAGGTGCTGATTCGCTGAGAGATGATGCTCCGCTCGTCCTCTGAGTCTGGACTGACCTGCGGCTGCTGACCGGCAGGAGGAAGCCTGTCTAACTGACCCATACTGGTGCTGTTCACCTTAGAGAGCACAGCAGGACTGCAGCGCACGCACACACACACACACACACATAGAAACACACAAACAGATAAACAGTCATGTGAAAACTCAGATGAAAAAATAATATAGTAAATACTAGTGTTTTTTGATCCGTGTTACAGTAAAGTGTGTATTATACTGTATACATTATAGTATCTACAACACTATGGTGAACTGATAAACTGTAACAAATACTATACTATGTTTAAGTTTTTACTACAGTAAACTGTGGTGTTTTGGTAGGTTAATATATACTCTTTAGTTGTAGGCACTACAGTACTGGGTCATTTGTTTATATTACTATAAGTTGTTGTGTTACCATAGCATCTCCAGAACAATATATAGTATGTTACTATAGTATGATTCAAAACACTCGAGTATTATAGAATTTACACTACAGTGAAGTATTTTCTATTAATGAGAGTATAATTTCAGTCATATCAGCTTGGAACATAACAACTTTTCATTTGATCTTGATCTTAGTGCGCAATTTAAATAGAGAAAGTATCGAAACTCAAAAAAATAAAAATAAAAAATTTAAGATGCTAATGGTCTAATCTGATTCCATAGATATATACACTAGATATCGCATAGGGACCCTGAGCATGCGTCAATAGCGCCGCCACATTGGTACAGTGCTCCCAGGACAAGTGTCATTCAACCGCACTAGTCAAGACAGTGTTATTACGTGAAGGTGCGGGACTTTAGCGCTGTCTACGGGTGTAGTAACAAGCAAACAAAGAAAACAAAGCACGAAGGCAGAACATTTCATAGGTAAGATTAAGTTTTTTTTACGTTTTTGTATGTTCTGAACTTTTGTGCTAATCAGGGAACGTTATTGATGATAATACAGGCACTTACTGCATTCACCATAAGGCAAAGCAGCTCCAACTCACACTAAACACTCGGCGTATGATAGTTTTGTTGAAAAAAATCAGCAAACAATGCAAAAGAAATATGACAACGAGATGCTGCGCTGCCAAAAACTTGTGTTATTATCGACTAGTGAACGAGTCGCAAATGAGATTCACAAATAAATTGCTCCCTCTATCAGTATGAGAAGTGAAAGCAGGAGAGGAGCTGTGTTTCAGGACATGATTAGATCGAATTTAACAGGCAGGGTGGATAATACATTTCTTTACACACAAACACAAGCTTTTTGTCAGGAATGCCTGCGGTCACTGATCCATCCATGTAGAAAAGATATGTAAAATTATAATTTTCGTAATTAGAAAAAAAAATTGCAAACAAACATCCAGGAAAACTCCCGATCATAGATATATGTGTATATGTGTATATCTCTGGCTTTGGATGGCCACAGTCCTCCACTGTACTTTGGTCCCACATTCATTTCAAAGGAGCGCTACCCTGTTTCAAAATGGCGGCTCAATTGACGCATTCCTTCCAACAGAAAGAGTGACAACAACAGGGTAGGGGACATCTGATGTATATATCTATGATCTGATTCAATGAACTATGCTAAGCTAAGCTTAAAGAGCTCCCTCCATACCCAGAGATCAGCTGAATGCATTTAAAAAATGGTTTAAACTAATGTTCTGATATGGAATAATTGGAATTTAACAGTGTTTCATAACTTTTTCACATTAGTGTAAATACATACAGTTGAAGTCAGAATTATTAGCCCCCCCCGGTACATTTTTCTTTTCCTAAAGGAATTTCTAAATTCCTAAACATAATAGTTTTTATAACTAATGTCTAATAACGGATTTATTTTATCTTTGCCATAGTGACAACACATAATATTTTACTAGATATACGAGTATTCAGCTTGAGGTACAATTTAAAGGCTTAATTAGGTTAACTAGGCAGGTTAGGGAAATTAGGCAAGTTATTGTATAACGATAGTTTGTTCTGTAGACTATCAAGAAAAAATTGCATAAGTAGGCTAATAATATTGACCGTAAAATGTTTAAGAACTGCTTTTATTCAAGCCGAAATAAAACAAATAAGACTTTCTCTAGAAGAAAAAATATTATAGGAAATACTGTGAAAATTTTCTTGCTCTGTTAAACATCATTTGGCAAATATTTGAAAAAGAAACAAATATTCACAGGAGGGCGAATAGTTCTGACTTTATCTGTATTTAAGACAGAATATGTATTATTTATATACTATATTTAATGTTTTCTTGCTGACCTGATGTCTTGTCCAGGAGTGTTCGGGCACGGCTGCGTGTAGGAGAAGGGAAACCAGCCTTTTCTGAGAAGAAGAGTTTAGATGGTAAGCATTAAAATAAACCACGCATATTAATATCTTAATAAAGTCAAAACCATCTGAGCTCTTCACTGGAGTATCTTGAGAAGGATGATGATGACATGTAAACGTATACAGCAGCCGCCTTTAAGCTTGTTTTAAAGGCCTGTTCATGCACAGAATGAAAACCCAATAAAGAAATGTCTGTTCACATTAAATAAAATACACTCCTAATATTTATATGAATTGCTGCATTATGATGACTGAACTGTATTTCAGACAAGTGGCGTTTTTGTCAGATCTTCTTTATGCTTTGAAAAAAAAAATGCTCCAGTTTTTAAAGCATTGTCAGTAATGCTGGATGTAAATGAATTAAATTAAGTGTAAGTGCTACAATTACTAAAGCTAAAACAGAAATTAAATAAGTATATAGATTAAAAACAAAAATATGTCCAAATGACCAACTAATAAAAAGTAAATAAATGTAGCTCATAGAAAACGTATGCTTAGTACAAACTAAATGTAATAAAACCGTCAATAATTACATAAAAATGTCAAAATTATGTTGTCTTAGCGAGCTTAAAAATAAAATGACTAAAGATAAAGCAGTAATACATTTTTTGTATAATAAAAACACAACAAAATGATCAAATAATAAAAAATAAATAAATATAATTAGCACAGGAAAAAACATAACCTACATATAAATTAAATTAAACAATACTACTACTACTAATAATAATATAAATGAAAAAAATAGCCTAAGCAACTAAATAAAAAAATAGTACTACATTTACTAAAGCTAAAACAGTAATAAAAAATGATTGTAAAAACAAACAAAATGAGCAATTAATAAAATAAATAAATATTATTAGCACATGGAAAACCAGAACATACAATTGAAATTAAAGAAAACTAATGATAATAAAAATGGAAAAACAAATATAGCCTTAGCAAAGAACTAAAAATAAAATGAGTTTAGGTACTTTAATATATATATATTTAATATATATATATATATGTGTGTGTGTGTGTGTGTGTGTGTGTGTGTCTGTGTCTCTGTGTGTGTTTGCATATATATATATATATTAAGGGTGGAGCCGAACCCGAATACGGTATTCGGAAAGGCACGAATAGCGTGTTTTTACGAATACTTGATTCGAACAAATACTTGAAAAATTATTTGTATTCGGGAGCAAGAAAAACACTATATCAAAAAGCAGCGTTTCCTCATGAGACCACAGTGCATGCCCGCGTGAGTGAGTGAGTGAGAGAGAGAGAGAGAGAGAGAGAGAGAGAGAGAGAGAGAGAGAGAAAGACACACGCTCAGTTGCAAAACGCGCCAAAGCCCGAAACTGAAAGCGAGACGTGACTTTTAAGGGGCTGTTTCATATGGATTTATTAATCATTCTTACTGTTCAGTGATCGCAAACTGCCGTAGTTTATTAAAGACGCAAACCTCTCACTGCACGTCAGCTGCGCGCCTTCAGGAGACCTCCTCATTCCTGCAGCACGAGAGCTTTATGATTGTTTATGCGCGCCAAAAGTGGCAGATCTGTCCGGTAAAATATCTGACAGCGTGTCCCCGTATCCCTAAGGACTGTTTGGCGAAATATTTGACTGCATGTCACTGCATAACAAACGACTGAAACGATATAACTCTCCACTGTGCCACTGTGCGTATGGCAAGCCGTTTTAGCATTTAAACCTTGCTCAGACTATCCATAAATATATTTAGAGATATCTCTAATTATATTTTGACTTGTCATAATTATAATTCAGATTGGAAATATCTGCAAATATATTATGACTGACTAGTCATATTCCTCCATTGACTTCCATTGAAAAATATTTGCAGATATCTCTAAATAAACAAACAAACAAACTTTGTGTCTTTTTTGTGGCTGGCAGATGATAATAGCAGGGCTGTATCTTTTAGTATTATATAGAATACTTTTGTTCTGCCAGATTTCCCAGGCAGGGTTTTATTTAGATTTATTTAGTTAATTTTAGTTTTAGGAATTCTGTCCATTGGAAAAGAGTTCTTTCAGAAGAACAGTTTTTTGAAGTATTATTTGTTTTTATTCTGTCTATTCAGTGTCCTTCAACAAGAACAGTGGTGGTGGGGTTCATAATATTCACAATGGTATTTTATTAGTTGTTGGTTTAACCATGGATGAGATAATGGCTTCTATGTTATTTTCTTTTCAATGACATTTCTTATCACATGTTCAAAAACAACAGCCAATATTGCATATCTATAATTTATATAATGCGTATAATTAAACAATACTTTCACTATAACGTAAATTAGAAGTGTAATAGAAAAAATATATATTTCTGCGCCATTTTGAATTTTACTCAAATACAAATACAAATACAAATACAAATACTTTTCCCCCTCAACAAATACAAATACAAATACCAGCTGCTCCGCACATCCCTAATATATATATATATATATATATATATATATATATATATATATATATATATATAAATATAACGAGATATAAACCCTTGGCAACTAACTAAAATTAGAATTAGTACTAAAAATATTAAATATAAAACAAGAATACAAATGCAATATAAAAAAACAAACAAAATGATCAATGAATAAAAGTAAATAAATAAATATAAGTACCACATGGAAAAAAAAACCTTATAAATTAACTCAAATTAAAAACAGCCATAACACCTAACTAAAAATTTAACTAAAAATAAAATAAATTAGTTTATGTACAAAAATTGACAAAAAAAAGGTAAACAAATCAAACACACACAAAAAACAACAACAAAATGACTAATGTTGTGGTGTGTGAGATGGAGGATATACCGTCCGGTGCGTTCGTTCTGCCCGTAGTGCCAACCGTCTCGGGGTTCACTGATCAGCAGGCCAAGTGTGTCTCCGGGTTGGAAGGACAGCAGACAGGAGCCTCCTCCGCCAGCCGGATCTCCATCACAGGACTCAGAGGAGTGAGCGAACATAGCCTCCACACGACACGGAGAACACAGAGGAAGAACACGAGGCAGAGTGGAGCCTGTGGAGCACAAACAACAACAACAGCAACAACGGTCAGAGAGAGTGAGAGAATCTGAATGAAGGTATGTTGTGTATTGTACTGAATTATATTTTAATTTTAATATAATGTATTGTATTGCAGTTTATTTAATTTAATTTTATTATATAAATATATTAGTGCTGGGCAACAATTACATTTTTTAAATCATGATTGTCTGCAATTTAATTCGCATTGCTATGCACAAAAATTAAAAATGATTTCAAAAGTAGTACATTAAGCACTTTTATTTTAAAGGTACTGAGTGTATAAACAAAAAAAAGCAAAAAAAAACCCAGGCTCATTCTGAAAATGTAAATTTCTGGAGAGGGACAAACCTAGGATCCTAGGATCTTTGTTTTTTTGCAGTTTTTGTTTTCGCAAATCCACCAGAGGCCGCTGTGTATGCTTTTTCACATCTCAAATTTCTCTCACAAGTGCCATTCACACCTGCTGTTCTTGCGTAAACCCACCAGAGGCCGCTGTTGACTGACAAATCGACTGACCCACCCTCCTCCTTCCCTAAACCCAACCGATGATTTCAAGAACACCGATTGACCCGCCCACCCACTTTCCTAAACGCAACTCATTCATTCATTCATTTTCTTGTCGGCTAGTCCCTTTATTAATCCTGGGTCGCCACAGTGGAATGAACCGCCAACTTATCCAGCAAGTTTTTATGCAGCGGATGCCCTTCCAGCCGCAACCCATCTCTGGGAATCATCCACACACACACTCATACACTCATACACTATGGACAATTTGGCCTACCCAATTCACCTGTATCGCATGTCTTTGGACTGTGGGGGAAACCGGAGCACCCGGAGGAAACCCACGCGAAGGCAGGGAGAACATGCAAACTCCACACAGAAATGTCAACTGAGCCGAGGTTCGAACCAGTGACCCAGCGACCTTCCTGCTGTGAGGCGACAGCACTACCTGCCTCGCCCCTCTAAACCCAACTAACAGTTTTAAAAAGCAATCCAGAAAAAGAAAAGCCCTCGCCTGCTTTTAACAACGTTTTCAAATCTTACCATATTATCACCCTGTTATTTACTTGTTCATTTTATTTTTGGCTTCTGTTTTTGGCTTCCGTCTCAGGTCCGCTGATGTACAAACAATACAAAGAAGCGAACAAAAAAAATCTGAAAGATGAGGTGTGTGTAATACCAATGCAATGACACAAGGAGAAAGTGCTAAACTACTGAAATGTGTTTAGTACTTTATATAAAAGGCTTTATTGGTGATGACAGCTTAAAGACGCCTCTCAAACAGAGAATGAAGTCACATGCATAACTCAGGTGTGATCTTGATGGTTCCATGGATCTCGTCCATCAAATCTGAGCTTTATTTTGTATTCTCTATTGGATTCAGATCAGGTGATTGGCTGGGCCATTCTACAGCTTGATTTTCTTTCTCTGAAAGCATTTGAGAGTTTCCTTGGCTGTGTTTTGCATCATTGTCTTGCTGAAATGTCCACCCTGGTTTCATCTTCATCCTCCTGCTAATGTAGATGTTGGACTGAAGCAGCGAATATTCTTTACACTGAGGAAGGGCAGAGGGTTGCTGAAGAACTACTGAGAGATTTCAGCTGCTGTCTGGGCCTTCACTGCCTTTCTACACCTCCCTTTCTTCATGTGTTCAATACTTTCCCCCTGTGTCATTTCATTTTATTGCACATAACTTCATTTGTAAACTAATTAGATTTGTTTTATTTATTTTTTATTTATTTGTTTTCTTTTATAGATACAGATTTTTTGGTTGTTACCAACATCTGGAGAAAACCTCAAGTCAATAACACCTTTAGAAATATGTTTGCTGAGAAAAAAGTTGAAATATTCAATACTTATTTCCCCCACTGTATTTATTTTCCTTTAATTTTCTTTTTGGTTATTATATTTTTATTTTTATTATTCTTAATTGACTTATTTGTATATGTAAAATCTCGTTTCTTTGTGTATAGGCTGTATATATGTAATATATAATGACTATTTCATTAATTTAAACACACACACATACAGACCTAAGAAAGAGGTGTGTGCGTCGCTGCTCTGTCTCCTGGGCAGTGGGAGGGTGGACGTGCCATACAGCAGACCGAGGCCGGACGCTGCATGAGGGGCCGCAGATGGAACGGGTGTGAGCGCACGGGACAAAGGCGCACTGTGGGGCAGAGGAGGACTGTGAGGCGCCGCGAGAGGTGGAGTCAGGCCCTGCAGAGAGCTGTGGGAGGAGCTGGAGGTGTGGCCTACAGAGCTGACCACACCCTGGTGTGGCTGAGAGTGGGCAGGGCTTGCTGTAGAGCTGGAGTGTCCGTTCTGCTGAGAGGCGTTGCTGGGGGACAGACTGTCAGATTGAGAGCGCTGCTGCTGCTGCTGCTGAGAGCGACTGCTGCTGCTGTCACCGTTCAACAGAGGAGGAACCTCCTGCACCGACAGCCTCTGACAGGGATCAGAAAACAACAGTGCATGGGGATGAGATGAGATGGGGAACAGAGCATGGGAAGACCATTATGTTTGCACAACAGTGCCCCCTGCTCTTACCTGTTCTGCAGGCTGTGTGATGCCCAGTTTGGCATTTCGCAGCACTTCCGCCAGTCCCGCTCCTCCAGAGCTCTGGGGGGCAGTGTGGCGCAGCAGGTTTAGCGCCCGCTCTGGCAGTTTAGTGGGCTGAGCACACGACTGCTGCCATGATGATAGCTTCTGAGACAACAGCTCTCTCACCTGCACAACAACACACTCATTACACAAAGCTTTTTCCCCCTGGAAAGCCCTACCCACATAGCAAAATTTCCCTGGCCCACACAATCAGCTTTTGCTTGGCCCACATGCCGCAGTGAATTACGGTACAGGACTAAACCAAGTCTGGCTTCCATATAAGGGCCAAACATGGACCATATCTGGGCCTAGTCTCAGCCAAATTAATAACCCACAACTCGGCCTGAACTGGGACATAGCTGCTATGGACCATGGTTTGGTCATTGTCTGGAAGCATATTTGGTGTGTCACGACTGCAATGAAACTGATAAACCCATCAAGCATTTAGGCGCGTTAATAATGGTAATGCTTAATAATAGTTAATAATTTAATTTGTAAAATAATAATTTGGTTAATAAATTATATGTAATGTAGGTTAAATTAAGTTATTTTGCATCATACAGGAAACAATAGATTAATAAATCTTGATTGTTTCCTGGAATAAAATAAAGGCATTATGGAAATGACTTTGTGCATCAAAAATTTTCTTTACTCAAAAAATTATTTTAATGTATTTTAAAAGTAGGTCAAGATAGGCCAAACTTATGCGGCCCATATATCAGTATTTAACATCTAGACCAGTGGTCAACAAACTTGTTCCTGGAGGGCCGATGTCTGGCAGATTTTAGCTCCAACCCTAATCACACACACCTGAACAAGCTAATCAAGGTCTTACTAGGTATACTTGAAACATCCAGGCAGGTGTGTTGAGGCAAGATGGAGCTAAACCCTGCAGGGACACCGGCCCTCCAGGACTAGGATTGGTGACCCCTGATCTAGACCAAATACTGCATCTGACATCTGGCCCATGTTGGCCCTTGAATGCTGCCTTAAAGACGGTGCCACATTTGTAAAACCAGGGCCATGTTAGGCCCACATGATGTATGTCAAAGCCGGATGAATACCTGCTGTGCCAGTTTTATGTCAAATCTGGGCCAGAATTCTTTGCTACCGGGGTAATTTAAAAGAATAGTTCACCCAAAATGTTAAATTTACTCAAAATTTACTGCACTTGTTCCAAATCTTTATGATTTTTTCTATTTCTTTGTTCAGTTTAACACAAAAGAGGATATTTTGAAGCAAGCTGAAAACCTGTAACCTCTGACTTTCATAGTAAGAAAAACAAATACAGTGGATGTCAAAGGTTACAGGTTTCCAACATTCTTCAAAATATCTTTTGTGTGTTGTGAAACAAGTAAAGGGTGAGCAAATAATGAGTTTAAAATGATTGCTGTCACTCAATATTTACTCAGGTCTTTTCAAACCTTTATGATTTCTTCCTTTTTTTTTCAGTTTTTTTTTTTTTGTTCAGTTACTGGAAGTCAATGGTTACTTTTTGTCCAACATTCCTCAAAATATTTATTTTATATTTAATAGAGGAAATAAATTCATGAAGGTTTAAAACAAGTAAAGGGTGAGTAAATAAGGATTTTAAAATGATGACGATTTTTAAATGATTTTATTAATTTATAAGTTACTCAATATTTACTCGTCAATCCAAACCTTTATAATTTCTTTCATTTCTTTGTTCAGTTTCACAAAAGCAACATTTTGTTGAATATCACAAAAGAAGATATTTTGAAGAAAGCTAAAAACCTGTAACCATTGACTTTCATAGAATAAAAAACAAATGCAATGGTTACAGGTTTCCAACATTCTTCAAAGTATCTTATTTTGTGCTTAATAGAAAAAATAAACACATGAAGGTTTAAAACAAGTACAGGGTGAGTAAATGAGGATTTTAAAATGATTTTAATTATTAAAAATGTTCTCCAAATTTACTCAGGTTGATCCAAACCTTTATAATTTCTTCCATTTCTGTGTTCAGTTTAACACAAGAGAAGATATTTTATTATGAAAAAAGTTGTAAACTTGTAACCATTGACTTCCATAGTATGAAAAACAAATAGAAGTCAATGGTTACAGGTTTTCAGGGTTTCTGCTAGTTTCATTAAGTCAAATGTAAGACTTTTTAAGACACTAACAAAGTAAATTTCAGTTACAAGTTTATACAGTTCTAAACGCTATGGATTTGTTTTCTAATGTCCAGTAGAAAATGTTTTAACTTGTTCCAACATTCTTCAAAGTATTTTCTTTTGTGTTTAATAGTAGAAATAAATGAATGAAGGTTTAAAATTAGTAAAGGGTGAGTAATTTATGATTTTAAAACGATTATATTAATTTATAAGTTACTCAATATTTACTCGTCAATCCTAACCTTTATAATTTCTTCCATTTCTTTGTTCAGTTTCATTAAAAAGATTTGGTTAATTTGGTTAGTTCTTAGCCACATATTTTAAATAATGTGTCATAACGAACAAACTCTAGTTACATACTTATAGATACTTATTAAGTTTTATATCCCCTTAAAAGTTTTAAAAATTATAATAAACTAAATGTGCGCACAACGGTCTGTCCGGGTCAGTGTCCTCACCTGGTATATATAAATAAATGGAGAACTTTTAAACAAATGTTAATGTATGCATGTAAGCAAGATAAAGATGTAACTCTTTTTAAAAGTGTTATTGAGATAGATTGTTGGCGATTGTGTGTGTGTTGGCCTGATTGGGTAGCTTCATGTGGACAAAGAAAAAATAAAGCCTGTTTAAAATGATATAAGACCTACAACACAATATTTCAGTGAATTTTAAGGCTCAAAGTTATGGTTTTAAATTTTAAAACACCCTAAATTTCAAACAATCTTTAAAGTATCTTCTTTTGTGTTTAATAGAAGCAAATAAACTGATGTAGGTTTGAAACAAGCGAGTTAATGATGACATTTTTATTTTTTACTATCCCTTTAACTTTTAAATCGCTGATCACACCTAAAATAGGGTGTTGTTACCTTGCAGTGGTAGTTGATGAGGATCTTGGTGACCGAACACTGACGGTCCACCAGGAAACAGTAGCGCCGTCTTTCTTCTGTCAGAGCAGATCTGTAGCCCACCGCCACCAAAGAGTCCAGCTCTGCCTGCCGACGACTCATCAGCTCCACATACTGACACACAAACACACACACACATGCTGAGTTTTATGGGCTCTTCTCATATATGCAATGATTATATATTCGCTCCCCCTAAACTCAACCCTAGCAGGAATCATGGGCAGCTGTATGAGACGTGTTCATCCGCATGTCTAGCAGGTATTTAAGGTTTACATACCACGGCGTTGACCAGTCAAACATTAAAGCACAATTTGCAGCGATCGCCGGTTTTCCCAATGTAATCGAAGTGATCGACTGCACCGGGTTCATGCTCGAACGTGTCAAAACATGTTGCCGTGAGCTTTACGAGCTTAGCCACTCACACTGCTGTTTGCCGCTCTCTTTAGTTTTGTTGTCTCTGTCAATCAAACGGTGATGGGCGGGAATCACTCAACTAGCTCATTCCAACGAGGTGTGCTATTTGCACTCAGCCTAAATAGACACTGCAAAATGACAAATGCCATGGCACTTCTCGTAAAGAGTAGGGGTATAACCCCGGTGTCCTGGCCAAATTCCCTCTATTAGCCCTTACCAATCATGGCCTCCCAATCATCCCCATCCACTGAATTGGCTCTGTCACTGTCGCTCTACTACACCAATAGCTGGTGTGTGGTGAGCGCACTGGCGCTGTTGTCCTGTGGCTGCCGACGCATCATCCAAGTGGATGCTGCACACTGGTGGTGGTATGGAGACACCCCTCATGATTGTGAAGTGCTTTGGGTGTACGGCCATACACAATAAATGCACTTTATAAATACACATTACATACTTACTTAATTAATTAGTATAGCTCAGAAACACTCATATTTGCTATAGTGTTTTTCATGTTATCTCAAACAGTCCAACAAGTGACACTTTTATTTAACACCTCAGTCATTTTCTCTTTTATTTTCCGTCTTCAATAAATACTGTAGTATACATTAGATTTTACTACAGTAAACTGTGGTCTATTGTAGTATAATATAACCTATAGTTGTAGAAAACTGACTAATAACTTACTAATATTATTTTGATATAATAATAATAATAATATTAACAATAATAATAATAACGATAATAATAATAATAATAATAATAACAATAATAATAATAATAACAATAACGATAATAATAATAATAACAATAATAATAATAATGATAATAATAATAATAATAATAATAACAATAACGATAATAATAACAACAACAATAATAATAACAATAATAATAATAATAATAACAACAACAACAATCATAATAATAATAACAACAATAATAATAATGATAATAATAATAATAATAATAATAATAATAACGATAATAATAATAATAACAACAATAATAATAATAGCAATAATAATAATAATAATAACAATAATAATAATAACAATAATAATAATAATAATAACAATAATAATAATAGCAATAATAATAATAACAATAATAATAATAATAATAATAATAATAATAATAATAATAATAAAATATTTGGGTAAGAAACCGCCAACTTACCCAGCATATGTTTTACACAGTGGATGACCTTCCAGCTGCAACCCTGTACTGGGAAACACCCATACACTCTCATTCACACATACAATATGGCCAGTTTAGTTTATTCAATTCATCTATAGCGCATGTGTTCGGATTGTAAGGAAATCCACACCAATACGGGGAGAACATGCAAACTCCACATAGAAATGCCAACTGACCCAGCCGGGACTTGAACCAGCGACCTTCTTGCTGTGAGGCGACAGCGCTAACCTCTGAGCCACCATGACACCCGTAACTAAAAGCTTTTAACAGTTAAAGTTAATATATGTAAACATAGTTAACCTGCAGTTATATAGTATATAGGTGAAGTCTACGTGTGCATTTACTATAGTATTTTTTCATGTGATTCCAAACAGTTCACTAAGTGGCCTTTTCATTTAACACATCAGTCATTTTCTCTTTTATTTCCTTTCTAAACGTCACTGTTCAAGCAGAGGCCCTGTTTTACTTCATATTCTGTTTTTCTCTACCTCAGTTTTCCTCTCTTCTGGCCCCAGATCAGCTCTTCCGGATATCTGCTCAATCTCACACTTAAATACTTGTTAGTTCTTTCTCTGAGCCCAAAAAAAACAACACGCTTACGCTAACGCTCGTGATAGCGTTGCTCAAACACAGATAAACTGAGTCCTGAATAAACACACGCTCAAATAAACAAATCAGCTCTAATATGTAGGACGCAGTGAGTCTCCGCTGAGCTCAATCCAGTCATTATAACACATAGAATCTACAAATGACCGGCTGTACATGATTTACAGTCTACAGTAAATGAACAGCAGCCAATAAGCTGGCCAGCACACAATTACTCAGTTCATTAGCAGGCGCGTTAATCCCATCTGACTTACTGTTCATTGATGACAGTGTTAATCAGCCTCAAGTGCTTCCCTGCATGGGAAAATATCATAGTATGCTTTTGGATTTCCTTCAGTCAAATGTACTGCAGCATGCTAGTATTAACTGCACTGTGAAAAATGCTGGGTTCCACACAATTCCTCCATGTAGTCACAATGCAAACTGATCAAGTTAGTTTGAGCTTATTTTTTTGTTCAAATTTAAGTTCATTGAACATAAAACAAGTTGTGGTAAGGAGATGTTTTGAACAAGCAGCAAAAATATATATTTTTGAGTGTTCACTCACAGGCCACTTTATTAGGTACACCTGTCCAACTGCTCCAATCAGCCAATCACATGGCAGCAAGTCAATGCATTTAGGCATGTAGACATGGTCAAGACGATCTGCCGCAGTTCAAACCGAGCATCAGAAGGGAGAAGAAAGGTGATTTAAGCAACTTTGAACGTGGGATGGTTGTTGATGCCAGATGGGCTTGAATGAGTAAATCAGAAACTGCTGATCTACTGGGATTTTCATGCATCTCTAAGGTGTACAGAGAATGGTCTAAATAGGAGAAAATATCCAGTGAGCGGCAGTTCTGTTGGTGCAAATGCTTTGTTGATGCCAGAGGACAGAGGAGAATGGCCAGACTGGTTCCAGCTGATGGGAAGGCAACAGTAACTCAAATACCCACTCGTTACAACCGGGATATGCAGAAGAGCATCTCTAACAGCACAACACGTCCAACTTTGAGGCGGATGGGCTACAGCAGCAGAAGACCATTAGAGCACCTTTGGGATGTGGTGAAATCATGGATGTGCAGCCGACAAATCTGCAGCAACGTGATGCTATTCTGTCAATATGGAGCAAAATCTCTGAGTAATATTTCCTGTATCTTGTTGAATCTGTCATGAAGGATTAAGGCAGTTCTGAAGGCAAAAGGGGTCCAACCCGGCAGGGCCGTACACAGGGCCTTCATAGCCCTCCCGACCCCCCACTCTTCACATTGCGGGTCAACATGGGTAATTTTTTATACTGAAGGGATTTAAAAATATAGGCAGAGTATTATCATGACTCACCTGCATCTCTCTGTCTCCATATTTATTGGGATGTCGACTGGCCTGACTCTTCCTTCTCAGCTTCTTCAGCTGTGACTGACAGCGCTCGATCGACTCCGCCTTTGACTTCCTCTCACTCTGGTATTTCTTCAGCGTGCCCTGAGAAAGGTTTTATAGAATAATCACATTTCAGAGATGAGATGCAATAGTGTAGCTTCAGGATCGGCTTCTGCAAGACTCAAAATGTAAACGATTTCTTAACAGTGTTGGCGGTGAGTAGGCCTAGGACTACTTATCGCCAGACTTTTTTATCCCATCATTGAGTTTATATATTTATTTATGTAAAAGTGTGTGAAAATATTTTTACTTTGTTTTTATATTAACTTCAGTAATATCATTGGATAATGATTATATGATTTACGTGCGATACAGTTTGTAATGCTTATGACAAATGTTATTAAAGGGTCACAAAACACCAAAACACATGTTTCAAGCTGTTGACAGTTGTTCATGTGTCCCACACTGCTAAAAACACTATTAGGACACATATATCTCACTGAAAAGTGAAAATTGGTTGTTTTTGCGTTATTTCGAGCAAATTCGTTCTTCCGGTTTGAAACTAATTTTTGAAGCTGCGTCACGGCTATGAGATCTTAGCATGTATTCCAGCATGTAAACTGGACGTCTGTACATGGGAGTATCTTATAACGTCTCAGAGTGTGCTGCACTCATTCATGAGTAAGACTTGGTTCAAACCAATCAGCGCGCGCTATTGTGGTGCAACTTCACTAATAAGCATGATAGCTTACCTGTTACAGTGTTCAGACGGCAGAGAGACGCCACGTTGTGTTGCCAAGCGGGAGAAAAAGAATTGTTTGGTGATACGGGTCGTCAGTGTTGCTTTTATAATTTGCTGCAGTGAAGGTTTTGTTTTCATTTTCCCTCTATGAGAGCGCAGCTGGACTCATGTGTGGATCAGTGCACACGACCCGCGACAAAAATATGTGTCTAAGGAACATTTTTTTACCAGAGAGATTTTCTCATCTGGAAATGGTGAATTCCGGATTTGCTCCTTGTCTTCTTTTAAAAAAGACAAGGCTCCATTTGGTGTTGATTGTCCTGTCTCTACAGATTTGGTAAGTGAGCGATTAGTGGTCTTTGTTTATTCAGAGGCAAAGTTTGTTTGTATCATCAGCAGTACTCTTACAGTGTTTAAAGACAGACCTTAGTCAAATGAATGAAAGTTAATAAAGTGTACCGTACGTTAATATCACTACAATATTATGGACTGAAAAATCCACTGTAAATACTGCTCCCAGAGTGTTAACATGCTAGCACCACAATCAAACTATTACCGTCGTGCAGGATTTTTTCCCCATTTGTGACAGGAATAACACTACCTTCGAGTGCAAATAAGTTATAGAGAAATGCAGAGGTTTTTTTTTTCTCTCATTAGCCGTGCAGTATCAAACATTGCATTAAAAATACACGGTTAAATCAATTCCTCGAATCAAATATCTTGTTTGTCACGAGGGGCATGAATGAAATTTCTGAATGAAAGAGCCAAACTGCAGTTAAAGTCCATCATTTAATAAATTGGCAAATAATTTGATTACTGATATCCATGTAAACAGTCACTGTCTTCTGACCTGCTTCTCTGTGTTTGTTTTGCCAAAACCGACACTCCCATTTTTATGCAAATTTTAACGGACCTTCCCTCTTTCCCTCCTCCAACACTCCCCCCTAAACAGAGCTGGACACGCCCACTTTCCTGACTTTTTGTGTCAACAAAGGAGGTGTGAAAACCTCCTGCTGAAACAAGGGGGTTTCATGGCCCTTTTAGTGTCATTTGCTCAGTTATGTCGTTTTAAATGTAAAGATGACATTGTTTTTACGAAAACTTGACATTGGGTTTGGAGGCACTTTAATTTTGAAAGAGGCACTTTTGGGAAGCAACTTATGTTAATTTTCTCTGTTATGACTATACAATGACTTAGCAACCAGTTAGAACACCCTAGTGACTGATATAAAAACTATATAATACAAAAAGTACAAGGTACGTTGATTTAACAACTATGCCCTGGCGATCACATCGCAAATCCTACTAAATCTTATTACTTTCTTCAACTTTAAAATCTATTAAATCTACTAAATCTTTTCTGGCCAGACTTTCTCGAGCCAACATAAAGCTTACCTTGATAAACTTTGTTGTCACGAGGGTTACCAAGTTAAAAAGATCAATTCTGTGTTCAATTGCATGTACAGATATGCAGTTAACATTCATTTTACTCATTTTAATCCAGCTTGAGTAAGCCAGGGAAGTAGTACTGTACACTTACAGTGAGATACTTGATGTCTAACTCCAGTTTCTGCTCCAGCTGAGACAGCAGCTCTGAATGAAACAGCTTCAGCTGCAGACACAACAACAACAAATAGTCATCATGAAGACCCATTCATTTCTTGTATGGCTATAAAATTATCATACCATGTCTCAGAACATAACATAGCAAATTATTAAATTGCCTTATAATACAAATCTGATGACGGCTTGATTCTGATTGGCTGGTGAGCATTCTAAGGTGTGCCGTTATTTCAGATATACACACAGCTAAAGTAGTTCCGGCAGGTTTTGAGTTCTGTATCACTACACTGAATGACGTCAGTTATTTCACAGCTACAACAGTCAAATATCATATCAACACACACAACACAAGGCTTTGGATGAGATGTGTGAGAAACTAGTCTTACACACAGGAGCAGTTTAAGGACAAACACCTGTCAAATGTCTCGAATACAACAACTGAACAGACAAATAAGTGTAATAATGCGCTCTGACCTGTTGAATTATTTGAAAATCACACAAATCACCACCTCAATTCAATGAACTGTCATCAATTATTTCTTACAAAGTGCAACTGAAGTGATTTTAGTTTAAAAGAATGTGCTAGAAATGTATAATTTATGTGTGCTTTTTTTTGCTGCTTACCACGTCCTCGAGCTGGACCTGGATCTGCCGATGAACCTCCGCCATCTGGAACAACGTGTCGCCTAAATAAGAAAAACATTTACCTGTAAATATAGCTCCTTACTGATCTGTAAAGGACCAGTTCACCCCAAATTGACTATAAGTTTATTAAGTCACACTCAAGTTATTCTAAACCTTCAGTGTCTGTTTTCTGGAACAAGATAGTCTGAAGAATGTTGGAAAAAAGCAGCCAATTACTTCTATAGTTGGAGCAAAAAAATACTATGGAAGTCAGAGGCAATGGCATAATTGTCACCTTTTTTTGGGTGAACTGTCCCTTTAAATAACAATAGATATAAACTATAAATATGTCCATCTATATCCACATTCATACAGTATGTTCATGTAAAATTATTTGTATTATATAACAAATATTGACAGCTTGATTGTTTCTTGAACAGCAAATCTGCATATTAGAATAATAACCGAAGGATCATGTGATTGATGGAAAAAATTTAGTTTTAAAACATATGCTAGATAAGTTGGCGGTTCATTCCTCTGTGGTGACCCCTGATGAATAAAGCGACTAAGCTAAAAGGAAAATGAATTAATTAATAATTGAAAAAAGAGAAATTTTAAGAGTTTTTGTGCCAGTAAAAGGTTGACAATTGTTCTAGAGGGAACCCAGAACACTTATTTTTTGGCACCACTTTTGGAAACTTTTAAGACTTTATTATTCAAAAACGGAAGTGAATAGTTTCTTCCTTTAGCGGATATGACGGTGTGGTTCTCCTGTGTCAGTAATGGTGTAAATGATGTGTTTTGCTCTTGCTCTTCTTTCTCCTGTTTTGTGTGTGTGTGTGTTTGTCGTCCTCCTCCCTCTGCTCTCCCCGCCGCCTCCAGCAGCACAATGAGATCATGTGGTGTTGTTAATCTTCCAACAAAGACCTCTCTCTTTTTTTGCCCGTCTCTGGCTTTCTCTTAGTTTCTTCATCTGCATTTTATCACACAGGCTCGCCTCTTTATTCTCTTCTCCTCTAGTCACTTGTTTTAAGTTTTCGTTTCCTGTGAACCCTGACGTGCTGCGAACTTTAAATGAGTAGTTAAATTTACTTAAATACATTCGCAATATATAATGGCTGTATCTTTAATAAATGATCTGAATAGCCGTGTCTGATTTATACAAGTATTTGCAGTCTTCTCTCCGTTAAACAGAAAATGAGGGAAAAAATAAACAGGGGGCTAATGATTCTGACTTAAACAGTATATATATTGTTTATGTGCAACTATGTATAGGCAACATACTTTTATTATCTGAAGTATTATTTTAAATTATTCCCGAGGACAAATTTCTGCAAAATAATATCATTCAATGAGATTTTCAGTCTAATAGCAGTCCACTCTGTTATTATCACATTATTAATTTGTTATTGTCCCCTATCACATTTAGGCATACATATATATACATACATTTGAAGTCAGAATTATTAGCCCCCTGAATTATTAGTCACCCTGTTTAATTTTATCCCCAATTTCTGTTTAACGGAGAGAAGATTTCTTCAACACAATTATAAATATAATACTTTTAATAACTCATTTCTAATAACTGATTCGTTTTATCTGTGACATGATGACAGTAAATAATATTTGACTAAACATTTCTCAAGACACGTCTATACAGCTTAAAGTCACATTTAAAGGCTTAACTGGATTAATTAGGTTAACTAGGCAGGTTAGGGTTACTAGGCAAGTTATTGTATAATGATGGTTTGTTCTGTAGACTATGAAGAAAAAAATGAGCTTAAAGGGGCTAATAATATTGTCCATAAAATGGTTTTTAAAAAATTAATAACTGCTTTTATTCTAGTCGAAATAAAACATATAAAACTTTCCCCAGAAGACAAAATATTATCAGACATACTGTGAAAAATTCCTTGCTCTGTTAAACATCACTTAGGAAATATTTAAAAAAGAAAAAAATTCAAAGGGGGGGTGAATAGTTCTGACTTCAACTGTATATATATATATATATATATATATAGTGTTTATGTTGAGATATTAGATATTTTACTTTAAAGAGCAGAAAAAAGGACTTCTTCTTTGCCATAAAAAGTGATATTACTGAACATACACAAAGTACACTGATAAAAATTAACATTTTAGAGGAAAATTTCAGGAGGCATTTAGAGGTTTTTGCATCTTAACTCTGGAACTATCCGGATTAGTATTCATAGCGCTTAAATTTTTCCACATTTTTTTATGTTACAGCCTTTTTCCAAAATGGATTAAATTCATTTATTTCCTCAAAATTCTACACACAATAGCCCATAATGACAATGTGAAAAAAGAGTTTTTGAAATTGTTGCAAATTTATTAAAAATTAAAAAAGATGAAAAATCACGTTCATAATCACGTTCACCTGTGGTAAATTCAGTCAATTGGGCATGATTTGAAAAGGGCATACATGTGTCTATATAAGGTCCCAGGGTTGACAGTGCATGTCAAAGCACAAACCAAGCATGAAGACAAAGGAATTGTCTGTAGACCTCTGAGGCTAGAGAAGGTTACAGAAAATTTCAATTTAATCCATTTTGAAATAAGGCTGTAACATAAAAATGTGAAAATAAATCCAGATGTGTTTGTTTATATATACTTCTGGAATGAATCATGTGACACCCTGTAGTGAATTTGGTGTATTAGAGTTTTAAAGGGCACCTTTTATGCCCCTTTTTTAAGAGGTAAAAAAAAAACCTAAAGTGTGTATGTGAAGTTTCCGCACAAAATACCCCACAGATATTTTTTTCTCTCTCTTTGAACCTGCCCATTATAGGCTTTGATCCTAATTGTGCCGTTTTGGTGACTGTCGCTTTAAATTCAAATGTAATTGTGATCCCAGCCAGAGAGTGGAGCTATAACCACCTATGCCTCGTCTCTAATGGGCGGGGCTTTCCCACTCTGATGACACGTACAAAGAGAAAATGTCAATCAAAGTATTTCTGCTGTTTTTATTAAGCTATCTTTAAACTCTGCAGTCACACAACTGTGTTCAAGTGTGATTTTTGAATAATAGGTCCCCTTTAAAGTGTCTTACCCAGTTCTTTTGAGCCCTGACTATCGCTGGCCAGCTCTCCAAGTTTAACCAGCGCATCAAAATATCCTTTAGCTGCCACTGTGACGCCTGTAGAGACACAGACAGACAGAGTTACAGCACTATGTGTGCTACAACAAAGTGCTAATGAGCAAACATGAGTTCCAGCGGACTGTTGCCCATTACAAGACCAATGAAGCATGGGAGTATTGATGTCTGACCAGTCAGAGCCTTTTCATAGTGTTTCCCCATAGTGACGAAATTCTTCAGACTGGGGTTGAACTGGTCCAGAATGCCCTGAACAAACACAGACGGCAAGGAAATTGAATTAGGACATTGATGAAGACATTCTAATTAGTGATTATGTAATTGAAACAGATGATGGAAAACGGTAGCATTAGGGCTGTATGGTACTGGATTAATCTGCGATAATGTTGTTGTTTCTTATGATATATAACAGAAAAGTGTTTTTTATATTATTTATTTATTTAATGATATTGAAATAAATGGGTATGAGATATTTTTTTTAGATCTAAATTATTTTAATTCAGACTACAAAACTGTGTCAAGGGGCAAACATTTAGTCTTAAAACACTATGAATGAGTGAAAACCTCAGCAGATCTTCTGACTCTGATTGGCTGTTGCCTTTATAAGCGTTTATTTTCTGGGTCTCCCCAGCCAATAGCAGAACAGCAACCATGAGGAGGCTGGGATAAAGATAGCCAGGCTCCATCTGATTAGTCAGATTTAGATAAATAACCAATGCATAAAATAAATGTAATGTATCAATGAATATTGATGAATATGAGTATGAATATTTCATATACTATTACCTAATCTGCATTCTGTCTGCATTCTAAGCTTTTTTTAACTTTTAAAGGGATAGTTCACCAAAAAATCTAAATTCAGTCATCTTGTTCTCATCCTTATCCTTTTCTAAACCTGTTTGAGTTTCTTTCTTCTTTTGAACACTAAGCAAGATATACTGAAGAATGCTGGAAAAATCACCGTTGACTTCTGTAATCAGTTTTTTTTTTTTATGAATGTTATTTTTCCCCAATAATCTTCAAAGTATCTTGTTTTATGTTCAACTTATAAAGGTTTATAACCACTCAAGTGTGAAAAAATAAATTTTTTTGGGGTTAACTATCCCTTTAAATACAATCCAGACAGAAAAAAAAAATTAAATATTGCTTTTTTGTCACTGTAGCAAGCTTAATTTGATTTGTTATTATTATTATTAAATCTGATTTATTATTATTAAATCCGATTTATCATTATTATTATTATCATCATTATTATTATTATTAAATCTGATTTATTATTATTATTATTATTATTATTATTATTATTATTATTATTATTATTATTATTATTATTAAATCAGTTTTATTATTATTATTAAATCTGATTGATCATTATTATTATTATTAAATAAATCAGATTTATTATTATTATTGTTATTATTATTTAAAATTTTATTTATTATTATTATTAATATTAAATCTGATTTATTATTATTATTATTATTTATAATTTTATTATACTATACTATACTATACTATACTATACTATACTATACTATACTATACTATACTATACTATATATCTATGATGTTTAACAAAACAAGGAAATTTTTCACAGTATGTCTGATAATATTTTTTATTCTGGAAAAAGTCTTAGTTTTAATTTGGCTAGAATAAAAGCAGTTTTTAATTTATTTTTAGAACATTCTAAGGTCAGAATTATAGCTTACAAATATATGAAAACATCACCTACAAAATATATGAAACAAATTAACCTTTCACAGGAGAGCGAATATTTTTTTACCGCAACCTTAAATACTTGGGAATAGCAATGTCTGTATACAGCATTACAATTCAAAGATGACTTTTTATTTTACAGTAAGTAACCTGGCACTCTCTAACAAGAATTTTAATCGTACCTTGTAGACATTTTCTGTCATCTTGTTGACCTCATCTGAGCGTGACATTGTGATTTCTCTCCAGCTTCACCTTGCTTTCAGACTTCAGGAATCACAGCAGACGCAACTACACAGAGAGAAGACAAAATATGAGTGATATCCAATGACCTTGCTTTATTTTTGGCAGTGTGTTAATTGCATTAGCTAGATATTTTCAGATCAGGTTTTACAGTGGAATGGTAAATCCTGCTCTTTAAAATCTTGCTCTTAAACTTTTTGTTAAATTTGATCAGTGTTGGGTAAGTTACTTCAAAAGAGTAATTAATAACTAATTACATAATTAAAATTCTGTGTAAATAATTTTTCTAGTGACTAAAAAGTAATTTAATTACTCAATTAGGAATTTAATTGACTCAATAGTTCTTAAAATCCCAATAAATCTCAACATATAGACAATGGAAATTGAACTTGAGTCAAACATGATGAATATTTCATAATTTTAATAACAAACAAAACTCTTTTTATTGAATTAGAACAACTAAATTAGAATTAAATGAATGATTTCAAAGCAATGACACCATAAAAACTAAGCTGAAGGAACATGAATGAATGAATGTTTCAAGTCAAGTCAATTTATTAAATATCTGCCTAATTTTGATATCTGACTGATAATGATCACATTAAAAACAACAGCATTTATTATTGGCCGTTATCAATATGGCCACCAATGTGTTGCGCATCCAATTATTGTCATTAATAATTTCTTAATTTATTGTTTCGTAAGCAAATTTGCAAACATCTCGAGCAACTGTCTTATTAAAAGAAACCGTTTGTAGTGGAAAAAAAAAGGTTATTCTGCAAACATTATTATTATTTATTAAAAATACAATTGATTATAGTTGATTAATAAATCAAGTTGATGAATCAGGTTGATTTATAAAGAACTGTTGAAAAAGTATTTAAGCCTAGGCTCACTGTAAATCTGTGCCTCAGGCTTAATCTTTACAAAAAACTAAAATTGATTGCTTGAAGAACATTTAATAGTATGTTTCAGATATCAAATCCACTAGAGGGCGCTGTTGGGATTTTTGTAAATCTGAAATTGGTCATTTAGGGGGTGTTTTGTTGTATGTTTCAGGCACACGTCCTTCTTGTACACATCCAAAAGGTTGAGCTTGTTGTAGATTAGCTAGCGAACCACTCAGCTAAACCCTTCCCTAAACCCAACCAATAGTGTTTTCAAAAGCAGACATAGGAGGAAATTTACCATTAATATAGGTAAATACCCATTAATTTACCTTTATTTTACATTCCTTTTATCTTTTTTGTGAAAGCATGCTTTAATGTACTTGAACCCGAGTCCTCAAGCGCATTACTGTACGAAGTGATATCCGAGCAAACTGACCACGCCCAAAAAGTCCATATATGGAGATATTTAGGTGACGCAAACGTATTCATTCCAAATCATAGACAGCATTATGTTGTTTTGTGGCGTATAATTAGTGTTGTGCAAAGAACTGCACAAAAATAATCCTTAATTTGTTGATCAGATGTCTTTGTAAATATCAGTAGTGTGAAAAGAAACAAAAGTTGTAGTCGTCATACTGCCCCCTAGTGTTCATTTTACCCACAAACTGCAGTCAAATGTAGGTTGAGGTAGGTTTTTGTGTTTTCCAATAAGCTTGTGTTGCAGACATTATAAGAAGCTGAAATTGAATGACCTAAAAATGAACAGTAATCCCTTACTTTACTTTTTCAGCGGAGAAGTAATTTAATTACAGCAACTAGTGACTCTGTAGCTCAATACAGCCAGCACTGGGTTTGATCGTGCCCTACTGGAGGAATGCTTTCCTGAACATTGCTGAGGGGATTTGCTTGTGTTCCAGCACAAGAGCATTAGAGAGGTCAGGGATCGTGTGATTGATTTGGCCAGAATCGCAGTCTTTGGCCCAGTTTATCAGAGGTCAAGTCCTTTAAAACCTGGAAACCATAACCATAAAAATATCACCGCATGCCATCACTGTTTCCCTTCTACCCAAATATTTATGTTATTCTGGCTTAATTGCTAACAGAACAGTGTCCTTTGTTTCTCCATTTGAATCCTGTATGATACAAATATCAGAGTAATTTATAGAGTAAATACTGTTGTGTTTTTGAGCCATGCAATTGTAAAGTACTATGATTAGGGTTAGGGTTGATTCTATAGTTGCTATGGTAACACAACGACTATAGTAAGGTACTTGAATTAATCTGCTGTTGTGTTTATTTAGTTGCTATGGTAACACAACGACTACAGTAAAGTACTTAATTTAATCTGTTGTGGTGATTCTATAGTTGCTATAGTTACAACGACTATAGTAAAGAACTTAAATTAATCAGTTGTGGTAATTCCATAGTTGCTATGGTAACACAATGACTATAGTAAAGTATTTGTATTGATCTGTTGTGGTGATTCTGTAGTTGCTATAGTAACACAACGACTATAGTAAAGTACTTAAATTAATCAGTAGTGGTGATTCTATAGTTGCTATAGTAACACAACTATAGTAAAGTACTTGAATTGATCTGTTGTGGTGATACTATAGTTGCTATGGTAACATGACGACTATAGTAAAGTACTTGAATTAATCTGTTGTAGTGGTTCTATAGTTGCTATGGTAACAAGACAACTATAGTAAAGTACTTAAAGTGATCTGTTGTGGTGATACTATAGTTGCTATGGTAACAAGACAACTATAGTAAAGTACTTGAATTAATCTGTTGTGGTGATTCTGTAGTTGTTATGGTAACCAACGACTATAGTAAAATACGTGAATTAATTGGTTGTGGTGATGCTATAGTTGCTATGGCAACACAACAACTGTAGAAAAATATTTCAATTGATCTGTTGTGGTGATACTATAGGTGCTATGGTAACATGACGACTACAGTAAAGTACTTGAATGAATCTGTTGTGGTGATTTTATAGTTGCTATGGTAACCCAACGACTACAGTAAAGTACTTGAATGAATCTGCAGTGATTGTAAAGTTATAATATACAACAACTTTAGTGTTCTGAACACATGACAAAATGCCTCAGTTTACTGTAGTAAAACCTAAAGTATACTACAGTTTTTATTTGAGTTTATCAGTTCACTAGTAGTTATAGTAGTTCATTACTAGTTAGTACTACTATATGCAAGAATTCATTAACAACTGTAATGTTAACAAGTGTGTTAACAAGTGTTTGTATATATATATATACACACACACACACACACACACACACACACACACACAATTGGCATTTAGTATTTTTTTTATGTGGGATAAGAATCAATTTTAAAAATACTGTATATGACTGTATATTAGCAACAATTGTGTTAGAGAGTCAAGTCAATTTTACAATGTACATTGTTTCATGTTTGTAATATCTTAATAATAGTGATATCATAATAATTTTATAGCTCTAAACAATCTAATTAGATAACTTAGACCTTGACAATAATACTTTAGATTTTGCAAAAGCATATAAGCAATCAAGCAGCTGATATATTAGAGCGGCCACTTTTACCATGAATCAAACCAACCACCAACGTGAATTACAGCATTAAAAACTGATTTAATTCAAGGCAGTACATGAAATCATATACCCAATGTTCAGTTCAATATGTACAAACCCAATCACTGGGTAAATTCTTTACATTACATTTTTTAACCCACAAGTTGGGTTTGTCCATATTGGGTAAACGATTCTAAAGTTACTATAGTTATGCTATAGATGTTGTTACCATACCAACAACAGAATTACCACAATAAAGTAAACTGTTTTCTATTGTAGTACAATATAGCCTATATTAATTCATTCATTCATCTTGCGTTGGCTTAGTCCCTTAATTTATCAGGAGTCATCGCAGTGGAATGAACCGCCAACTTATCCAGCATATGTTTTACACAGCGGATCCATTCCCAGCTGCAACCCAATACTGGGAAACAACCTCACACACTCATTCACACACATACACTACGGTCAATTTAGTTTATTCAATTCACTTAGAATTTTTTTTCAAGTTGGATGGTACCTCTTGATACATCTCTGAGGTTTTACCTTAAAAAAAAAAAAAAACATTTCTCATACATTTCACAATTTAGTGCACATCAAAACAAGGACCACCCCTGATAATGTGAACCCCCCAGAGATTATATAGTCTGAGTCTGGCCAAAGCCTTCCTAATACACTGTTATTGCATGTCTTGAGTTCCTGAAATTGAGTCTGACATGTCACAGTGCCCCGAAGCAGAGTAATCCTGAGAACAAGAGTCACGCCGCTGAACAAACACTGGCGCTCACACTGTTTCCCTTCTTTAGTCATCCTAAATAACAGACTCCAGTTAGCATCACGTAAAACTGCAGCGATGAAGCCTCTCGTGTGAGTTATTGGAGGAAGAATTTGACCCCAGAGAAGTGATCGACCGAGACCCCCAAAACAATAACATTCTCATCGTATGACACTCACATCTCTCCGCTTGTTTTTCTGTCACTCCTGTGACAATGTTAAATGTAATAGCTATGTTCCAACATAAAAAAATACCATACACTTTAGGATTTACTACAGTAAAATGCAGTAAATTCTATATATATTGCAGTATTTACTACATCTTACTGCAGCAGACTACACTCAAAATAATATTTTGCTGTTCAAGCTGAATCCCAATTTTTTCCCCAGGTAGCAAGGAATTCTGGCCCAGATTTGGCATTAATCTGGCCCAGCAGGCATTCATCCGGCACTGGTATACAGCATGCGGGCCAAAAATGGCCCAGGTTTGGCAATGGGTTTTTAAGGCAGAACAGAATACTTAGGCCAGATGTAAAATGTAGTATTCGGCCCAGATGTTAATAATTGATATGTGGGCCATGTAAGATTGGCCCAACTTGACCCACAATATATGTTTTTAATTTTTTCAAATAAAGAAAAAAAAAATCAAAAATAAGGTGCAGTGATTCATGGGTTTATTAATTTCATTGCAGTAGTGATACACCAACATATCTGGGCCAGTTCAGGCTCAGTTAACTTGGCTTCCTGACTTGGCCCAGATATGGTCCATGTTTGGCCCTTGTCTGGAAGCCAGACTTGGTCCAGTCAGCTTTTGCTTGGCCCACATGCTGCAGTAAATTACAGTACATGACTGAACCAAGTCTGGCTTCCAGACAAGAGCCAAACATGGACCACATCTAGGCCAAGTCTCAGCCAAGCTAATAACTCATAACTGGGCATGAACTGGGCCAGATATGTTTGTGTGTCACGATTGCAATGATTGCAATGAAATTGATAAGTCCATAAAGCGTTGCACTTTAGGCACACTACGTACATGCTTTTTCTCAAGAGTCAAGACTGGCCAAACTCACATGGCCCACATATCACTTTTTTAAAATCTGGGCCAAACACTACATTTTACATCTGGCCCAAATCTTGTGTGCCATCTTAAAGACAGAAAGAAAAAAATCAATCAGTCAGTCAGTCAGTCAGTCAGTCAGTCAGTCAGTCAGTCAGTCTGTCTGTCTGTCTGTCTGTCTGTCTATCTATCTAACTATCAAGTTTCTCTACAAACTTTACTTTTTATTTTCAGAATTAATTCAATTGGACATAAAATGTCCCAGCAGGCAAGAGTCATTTGAATTCATGTCTGTTTTCCCACAAAATAAATACTATAAATTTTATGCAAGAGCTTCATCTGTTAAACGTTACATTTTCTGCTGTTGTGTTTACAATGACTGGGTAAAGTTGGCTTTATATTCGCACATTCAGATTTCATCCTTAATAATATAATTTAAGAAAAGTATTATTAAAAATTCTAAATAAGAATATTATATTAGCAGCCAATAACTATCAAAGTACATTGTTCAGTTAATTAAATAGCGCTAATGCTGCTTTGAAGTCATTCTTACATGCAAATTGAGAACAAATATTTGGAGTACCATGGTAAACAATATAGACCATTTCACATCATGACTAAACTTTGGTTGTCAGTGAAAATCTAATAGACATTTAAGGATAGCTCAAAACTAGACTAGCCATTAACTAGACAGACTTTATATGTGTGGTCATTCATTTCAGTTTATTTAATGACTAGTTTAGTTTTGGCCTATTCTTAGACGTCTATTAGATATTCACTGTTAGATCCCAAGACGACTATATTTAGACATTTATTAGACATCTTTTAAAAGCAAAAAAAAAAAAAAAAAAAAAAAAAGTCAATTCAGTCAATTAAATAGTGCTAATGTTGTTATGAAGTGACTCTTACATGCAACTTGAGACCAAATAATCAATGTAACATGGTAAACGTTTTAAACTATGTCACAACCCAGCAAACAATGTTGTGTTTAATAGACGTCTAATAGACATCTAAACGTAGACAGCTTGGCTTAAATAAGGCTAAATTTGGGTTGTCAGTGAAAATCTAATAGGCATCTAAGAATAGCCAAAACTAGACTAGTCCTCAAACAGACAGATTTTTATGTGTGTAGTCATTTCTATTTATTTGAAGATTCGTCTAGTTTTGGCCTATTTATAGACGTCTATTAGATTTTCACTGACCGCCCAAATTTAGCCTCATTCTAGCCAAGAAAACTACTGTATGCACAGACGTCGGTCTATTAGACATCTATTAGACATCTTATAAACAAAAAATGTTTGCTGGGAAGTTGTCACTGTTCAAAAAGGAACGAATGTGCGAATATAAAACCAACTTTACCTCAATAATTACATGTACCTTAAAGAAAACATGCATATTTATTATGTAGGCTACATTATTATTTCCACTTGTACAAATAAAACGGTTTATCATTACTGAATTGAGGCATTATCAGGTCTCTGAATTAAAAAAAAAACACATTCAACTCAGTAATGAAGGAATGTATACCATTATTAATTATTTCACTCATGGTCTCGTTTGACACTTGTTTCCCGTTAGATCTGATTATTAAAGTGATACTGTCGCGGTGTTAATTTAATAACTTGTAACTAGCCAATCAAACAAGTCCCATTCGGGCCGAAAAAAACTAACAATGCAACTTTATCAGCCTCAGAATTTACAATGCCAATCACGTCCATCAGGAGGTCGCATTTTTGTACTCTTATAACGCCACTTGTGGCACTGAGAGTCAGTCATCAGATTGTTCGTTTAAACTGCATTATTTAATGAATAAACAGCAGTTTAGTAGAAAGCAATTCCCCATACCTTGTCAATGTTCATCGTGTCCTCGGCGCTTTGTCTGCTGTGTTTTTCACTTTTCTTTCTCCGACTTTCTATAGAGTGGTGGGGGTAGTTTAGCTAGTTAGTTTGACCCAGTAAATCCCTCGTCCACCCCTCACCCTCAGCCAAACTCGAACTCACTGTTTCCAGGTCAGCACTCGCTGCTCATTGTTCTTCATTCACGCTCCTCCATGACCGCGTCAAACTCTCATCCTCTCCGGCCGCGGAATGTCCATTTGCTGCGGGTCTGTGGAGCTCGAGCGGCTCGCTGTCTGTCTCTTCTGGACAATGTCTACTTCTCCTCTCTCTGTGTGTGTATGTCACTGGGACTGAATGTCAATGAGGTAACGGGACAGCAGTGAATGCCGCCTCTGCTCATTACAGCTCCGCTCACTCACTCACTCACGCACTCTGTAATTCTATTCTATTCTATTCTATTCTATTCTATTCTATTCTATTCTATTCTATTCTATTCTATTTGATGCCAACTGGCTGTATTGACATACCAAATATCATACCAAAGCATTTGTACTATTTCATTTACATTAAATTGAACATATGAAAAAGAAACAAATGATAATAATAAATATAAAAAACTAACTATAAATATATATGTATATAATAATATATAACCAAACACAGACACAAACATATAGAGCTTATAAGTATATTTAAGTAAATGTCTGGTGCATTAAGATAGGAGTGTGTTCAACAGGTGGTTTGTCAAGCCCACTCACCCGCATGGAGCTCACGGATCATATCAGTATGTGATGCTTTATTAAAAAGATAGGTCTTTAATCTGGCTTTTAATCTAGTTACTTATTGTTTATATGTGCAATAAAATACAGCGTTCTGCTGTATTCTGTTCATTTAAGTACAGCCACACTAGTAAACTATGTAGCTTAGGGCTACCTGTTCTGTAAATGTTTACTGATTTATTTAAACGTAGTTACCTGAGTAGTTCAAGACTTAACACTTGTTTAGGCCTGCAATCTGAACACACTTGGACTTGAATTCAACAAGGAATCTAAACATATTTTCTATCAATAAAAATCAATAAATAATACACAATCAAACCTAAACGAAGGTCCGAGCCCATAGATCATTTCAATATGGTCATGTCATTGGCCATGAACACTTCCTGCTTGTTATCAAACTATTTAATAACTGTAACAAGAGGCAAGTCAGTCGTAACTTAATGTTTAAACAGGTGCCGTAACATTCATTCATTCATTTTCTTGTCGGCTTAGTCCCTTTATTAATCCGGGGTCGTCACAGCGGAATGAACCGCCAACTTATCCAGCAAGTTTTTGTGCAGCGGATGCCCTTCCAGCCGCAACCCATCTCTGGTAAACATCCACACACACATTCACACACACACTCATACACTACGGACAATTTAGCCTACCCAATTCACCTGTACCACATGTCTTTGGATTGAGGGGGAAACCGGAGCACCCGGAGGAAACCAACGCGAAGGCAGGGAGAACATGCAAACTCCACACAGAAACTCCAACTGAGCCGAGGTTCGAACCAGCGACCTTCTTGCTGTGAGGCGACAGCACTACCTACTGCGCCACATATTTTTTACTTTTTTACATATCTGTCCATATGTGGCTCTTTTTGGATTCTTTGAAGCTAAAGAAATTAAAAATATAAAAAAAGGAAACATGTTGGAACTATTTTGTTTACATCCCTCATAATGGTCTATCTATACCTCAATGTCAAACTCAAACTGTCTCACTCACAGACACACACCCTAACAAACACTTGGCCGAGTAACGCAGTTGTTGTGTGAAAGACCCAGTAGAGGGAGATCTTGGACCGTTTTCTAAAAACTACAGTGAATCTCATTGGCTTTTATTATATGGACAACAACACACATCAACAAATCTCCTTCAGTTTTGAACATCAACATAAGTTTAGAGCTTTAGAAACACACGCGGATGAGTAATTTACATCAGTCTGAAACACAATTTATGAGTCAGGTAAAAGTGTGTAATGGCAACTATTCAGTCAATTCACATACAGTCAGTACCACATCACATTATCAAAGAGAATTCTCAGAGGGAAAATCGTAACAAAAAAAAATGCTTAATAAATCATAAAAGCTTCACACTACAGAGTTCATCTGGCTATTTTAACTTAGCATGTCTGAGGATGTTTGTTCAGGTATTCCACAAAGCTCAAATTTACTTTCTGTCACACCTGTTGCAGTGCCCTAGTTTGGACACTTGAGGGCACTAGTTTGTTTTGTAGTTTCACTTCATTTCCCATAATCCTTTGTATTACTGATTGTGTTCCCTGCTGAAAAATCCAGCCTAAACCAGCCTAGGCTGGTTGGCTGGTTTTAGCTGGTCGACCATGCTGGTTTTAGAGGGGTTTTGGCATTTCCAGGCTGGTTTCCAGCCATTTCCAGCCTGGTCTTAGCTGGTCAGGCTGGGAGATGACCAGCTAAAACCAGCATGACCAGCTTCATTCATTTTCTTTTCGGCTTAGTCCCTTTATTAATCTAGGGGCGCCACAGTGGAATGAACCGCCAACTTATCCAGCATATGTTTTACGCAGCGATTCCCTTCCAGCTGCAACCCATCTCTGGGAAACATACATACACACTTATTCACACTCATTCACTACAGTCAATTTAGCTTACCCAATTCACCTGTACCACATGTCTTTGGACTGTGGGGAAAACCGGAGCTGGGAGAACATATAAACTCCACACAGAAACGGCAACTGACCCAGCTGAGGCTCGAACCAGCGACCTTCTTGCTGTGAGGCGACAGCACGACCTACTGCACCACCATGTCGGCCAATTTAAATAATAGTTAACATTAAAAAAGTGTTGCATAGTAAAAATATATGTAATATAATACACTTTACTCATATATATAGTTCAAAATGGCTATAGTATTTTTTTTTTTCATGTGGAGTGTGATGTAGACGGAACGAGTCCAATGGATGTTTTGGAAAATGTGTAATAATCTCAGGCAGGAGCTCAGCCAACTGGAGCAACACAATCATCCATCGGCTCTCCTGTGTGGACTTCTAGGAAAGATGAAGTCTGTTGTCCTTACTTCAGAAACACAAAGACAGGTCGGTCGAGCGGTCACCAGGCCAGATCAGAGACTGCAAGACAAAATAGGGCCAGACCTGCAGCTCCTGCGTGCTTGATCTTGTGCGTCAGCGTCTGAATGAGGTGGACGGAAGCAGAGTAACAGAAATAGATTTCTGTGGAAAACAGGCTTAGGTAGAAACACACTGACACCAGTGGAGCAAACGCATTTAACACACATGATAAAAATACAGTAGAAAGCTATAATACAGTATTTACTACAATGTGGCCCTCATGATGTTTAAATAGCAACATTATGACACTATTGACAACCCACAATACTGTAGAATCCTCAACCTTTTTGCAAGGTTGGTACAATTTAAGGAGATCGCTACCCTGAGGCAACGTTGTGTGTTTGTTGGGATCTTGGTATATTATAGTATTAAGATTTAAGCATTAAGATTGATGAACTAGTAAATACTGTATATATTTAGTGAATTAGTAGATTTTGTTATATCACAGTAGTTTATTTATGTTATATATATATTTATTTATTATTTATATGATACATTGTTATATTAGCCTATCATGTTCTTAATGAACTGATAATATATCGATTACATTACATTATCGATTATATATATGTCGATTACAAGATAATATTTGTTACTATAAAGCTAAAACTAATGTAGCCTACCAGCAGTGGTGTAAAGTAACTAATTACAAATACAAAATGACAGTAAATGAGTAATCTCTCTCAGAAATTGTAAGTCACTAAGTAGTTTTAAAAACGTGGACTTTTACTCTCCGTTGAGTAAATTTTTTGTGATGTATCGGTATTTTTACCTCACTACTTTCCTTTAACCTGCAGTCACCACTTTATTTCTTTCTCGTCTATGGTGATTGGCTAAAGCAAAAAAAATCAGTCCTGTGATTTCAATCAAATCACACATAGAAAGTAAATCGCATGATACTAAACAACATCAACACAAGGGCTCTTTATAAATGCAGCAAACTTTTTGAAAGCATTAAAAATGTCCAAGATGATATCCAAAATCTTTACACACGTTGTCGCACAGATTTTAATAGACTTGATGTCACTGATGAGAAAATAGATGTCGACAACCACTTAATGGAATGAATCAAAAGTGGAATGAAAGACCGATCAAAGGTAGGACTGAAATTATGAAGGAAGGAAGGACCAAATAAAAGAAGGAAGGATTCAAGGAAGGACTGAACAAACTAAGGGAAGGAAGGAAGGAAGGAAAGAAAGAACGAATGAATGAACAAAGGACTTTATGAAGGAAGGACCAAAATTATGAATGAAAGAACGAATGAATGAATGAACAAATGAAGGGAGGATCTAAGGAAGAACCAAATAAATGAAGGAACGAACAAATGAAGGAAGGGCAGAAAAAAGGACCTAATGAAGAAAGGAACAAAAATATAAACTAATAAACAAACAAATGATCGAACGAACGAACAAAGAAAGGACCAAATGAATGAAGTAAGGATTTAAGGAAAAACTGATCAAACTAAGAAAGGAAGGAACGAACGAATGAACAAAGGACCTAATGAAGGAAGGAACAAAAAATACAATAATTAAAGTAACAATATTACTTTTAAAAAGGGGAGCACTCATTTATGCTGAGCACTGTATATGTGAGCCAGCAGACTGTCTGTTACACTGAGTGACCTGGATAGTAACGAATGACTGTCTAATGTCTGGATCACCTTTCTCTCAGTCTCTGTGTTTTCTGTATGTGTGTGTGTGTGTGTGTGTACATATATATTGCCTCTGACCTCAATCAGTGTCCATCTGTCTCTCTGGCCGCTGCGCTGGATTCTGCTCAGACTTTAATTAGGCCGGTTATCTTGTTAAGGCTCATGACAGTATGTGCACAAAACACACACACACACACACACATACACACATAGCCTTCAGAGAAACATCTACACAGTCTGACGGGCTTCCTGAGCATTTGTGGGTTGTTTCTTTTATTTAAAGTCGAAATGGAATTAAACTTTTGATAGTAGTGTTATATATCTGTGCGCTTTGTTATTTTGTATAAACGAATTTCGCGCATAAACTTTAATCAAAAACTATAACCTTCCCTCCCTCTCACATGGAATGCCCTTAGGCTATCCGCCCTTTACGGCGGTGCTGTAAGGGTTTCTGTCATGTTTCTGTCCTGATTTTGTCCATTTGTCAATCTTCCTTCATTTTAATAGCAACACCCGTCTTTCAACTATCCGATTCGTTCTTAAAGAAAAAAAATTATACACCGCCCTACATTTTTTTTCTCATTTCAACACTTTTACAACCCAAGCTCATTATTAATTCGCACTCCTGTATACATGTTCATTCATTTTCTTGTCGGCTTAGTTCCTTAATCCAGGGTCGCCACAGCAGAATAAACCACCAACTTATCCAGCAAGTTTTTACGCAGCAGATGCCCTTCCAGCCGCAACCCATCTCTGGGAAACATCCACACACACATTCACACACAAACTCATACACTACGGGAAATAAGTTCCCGGAGTGTCCCACTAACTAATGATAATCCTGTCCTGTATATACATCCTGCACCCCTCTCCACCGCATCCCTTCTCGCTCTTCAGACACATCGCCCACTTTCACATACGTCGCACAACTGCAGGAATCGTAGCTGAAAACGTAGCCCTGTATACATTTCAGGAGATCGCGAATTATGTATCCAGAAGTACGTATGGCTGCATTTTGTCTTTAAAATGAATGCTACGGGGCGATATGCGTATCCTTTTTGAGCTTTCAGATTTTACCACATCCTCACCCTGTTATTTACTTGTTTATTTATTTTTTATTTTTTTGCCAGACTCAAACCCCATCGTTAAGATCAACTCATCTCTGCATCTCAAGTCCGCCAACGTATGTGACGAGCTAACAGGACAAACTGGTAACAGCTGAAAAGCCCTCCGTTTATAGGTAAGTGGTCAGCTGGTACAGCAAAAAAGGAACAGACGCCATCGGTGTCATCACACAACCCCGTAGCGTTCATTTGAAAGACGAAATGCAGCCAGACGTACCTCTGGCTACATAATTCATGCTCTCCAGAAATGTAGACAGTGGTATCCACAATGAGCTTGTGTTGGTCAAATGTGGACTTACCACTTTTACAGCACACAGTAGTGTATGATCAGAAAAAAAAGAAAGAAAACTGAAAGAAATAAGACTTTCTCCTGAAGAAATAACATAATAGAAAGTATTATGAAAATCCTCCTTAATCTATTAAACAACACTTGGAAAATATTTGTAAAAAGAATCCCAAGAGAGCTAATAATTGCATGTCTGATGGCCTTCAGGTTGATTATGCGACAGAATTAATCATCCGGGCGTCAGGAGGAGGAGGAGAGAGGCGGGTGTTAAACTCTGGATTAACTCTCTTCAAGCTGTTTGGTGACTGAGTTTGATGAGTACTTCAGGATAAACACGCAGACCTACAGGATCCACAGGTATGTTGAAATTATATACAGATTGTGAGCTAAAGCTTTTTAGATCTCTGGCTGCTTGAATAATGTTCAGGTAATTCCACATTGTAGTATTGTACTACAGTATTTGTCCATTGTGAGATGGAGATTATCTCGAGTGATGGACCCTGATGGACATGTGCCTGTTTATGATCGTATTTCATGATTAAGAGGATCCATGTTGATCTTATTACTGATTTCTTTGAGACTTTTGTATTTTTGGGGAATCATTTGATCAACGTGTGCACAGTAAAAAAAAGCTTGAGTTCCACACAATTCCTTCATGTTGTTCCAACACAAATCGATTAAGTTAACTTACAAATGCAATTACATTTAATGCAAAGTTGACAAGTAAGAATTAAGTTAGCTTGAACAAGCAGCAAAAGTCATTGTTTGAGTGTGTTTGTGTGCTAAATCTCTTCAGCTTTTGGCTTTATTAACTGCGCTCTTGAGCCATCACTTAAAGTCGAAGTCTTAAAGTGATAGATCACCCAAAATTATAAATTTACTCACCCTCAGGAGATTCCAAATGAGTTCCTTTTTTGATAGCACTTCAGTTTAAGTCATAATTCATGATGTTAACAAACCATTAACTAACAATCATAGCTTAATAATCCACTAATTAGCTGATAATTAATAGTAAGGTAGAAGTTGGGTTTAGGTTTTGGGTATATGTAGGAATGAAGAATAAGGTCATACTTTATAACTACTAATGAACAGTTATTATCTTAATAATAGGCAGGTACTAAGTTAGTACACTCTCAGAAATAAAGGTACACTTTCAGAAATAAAGGTACGTGAGTTGTCACTGGGGTGGTACCTTTTCAAAAGGTACACATTTGTGCTTAAAGTGTCAATTTTGGTACCTCAAAAGTATATATTAGTACCCAAAATTTTTAAGAAGAACACTTTTGTGCTTTTTAGGTACTAATATGTACCATTGAGGTATTAATATGGACCTTTTAGGTACAAAATTGGATCTTTTGAAAAGGCACCACCCTTTTATTTCTGAGAGTGTACAGGAGCTGTCACTGGGGCAGTACCTTTACAAAAGCTACATATTTGTATCCAAGGAGTCCACAATGGTACCTCAAAGGTGCATATTATACCCAAATGTACTTAAAAAGTACCTTTGAGGTACCATTACAGGCCCTTAAGGTACAAATATGTATCTTTTGAAAAGGTACTGCCCCAGTGACAGCTCCTGTACCTTTATTTCTGAGAGTGTGGTTAATAGTGTGAATTGTGAAACTAAAGTGTTACTGTTTTTTTTCTTTTGTAGAACATAAATGACAAACATAAACTTGAATTTAAAACTCCTAGACTGAGCTCGATATCCGTAAAGTAGCAGTTTTCAGTATTTTGTGATTGATGTTTTTATTTTTCCTCATTTATTTCTGTTTTTGTGCATTATGGGATAATAATGTTTCTTCCAACAACTTTTAACCTTAAGAAAAGTAAAAAAGTGACCTTTATTATCCTTTTTAACAGTTTAAAATGATAAATTGTCTGTGTTGGTGTTGTATATTACGCTACAAACACCTTGAAATAAACTGACAGCACATTTTCTGTTATTTAACACACTTATTTCTCTATATGTTACTTCTTATACATTATTTCAGACTACTAAAATGTCTATAAAAGTCACTTTGTTTCAGCATTAAAAGTTTCAGCATTAAAAGTCGACAGAGCAGAGATCAAGCTCTCATAATGCAATTCACAACCGTAAATAAACATAAAACACTTATGAATCACAAAATAAGGAAACTGTAACAGTGTAGCCCCTTTAAGTTGCTGTAAAATTACCAGAATATTGTTACTAAATGAAATGTACACTGTAAAAAGAATCTTAAGAATTGAGTTGTTTCCGCTCATTTTAAATAAGTAGTTTAAAAAAGCAGCAAAAACATTGTAGCTTCATAAATGCTCTCAAATATAAAAGCAACACATTTAATTACACTGCACTGATATGAAAGATGAAATATTTGGCATTTGTAAATACTTTTGGAGATGGTTGTATGTGTGTATTTCTCAGAAGGTGTATTGATCTGCATCGTGTGTGTCTGACTAACTTGTGCCTTCAGTGGAACTCCACAATCAGGCTAATCGAGTGGATTTAGACAGGAAGATAAACGGTGATGAAGTGAGGATTGAGAGAGAGAGAGACGGAAAAGGCTTCTGTGCTGCCATCTGTCTCGCTTTCTAAAGCCATCACTTGCATGATCTTACGCACACACATAGATACACACACACACACATATATGTGTTTGTGTGTGTGTGTGTGTGTGTGTGTGTGTAGTTTTCTGTCTGTACCCAGCTGAGGCTCGAACCAACGACCTTCTTGTTGTGAGGCAACAGCACTACCTACTGCGCCACTGCATCACCCTAAAGTGATGTATGCACACTATATAGTATACTAAGAGCAGGGATACAATCAGCCAGCGCAGTCGTTCCACGTTACTTGCGGGAGTTCCATTGGCGTTTTCCCGCATGTTAATTCTGACTAATCTAAAAGCAGTTCAGGAAATACGTTGAATATCATCTGGCCAATGAGTGATGTGGATTTTGTCACATGACTGCAGTTTGGGTCTTTTCAACTGGTTCGGACTAAAGTAATCAGTGTGGTGTGAAAAGAACCAAAATCTACAGAAAAAAGCTACAATGTATCATTTGTTGCCTTTGGTCTGGACCAAAAGAACTGAACCACAGATGTGAAAGCCCCCTTAAAGGCACTTGAAGTTTTTTTCTGACAGCTGAAATCTGCACAAACCGTTGGTGACAAACACTCTGACTCCACTGACTCACAACTGCTCGTAAAACCTCACAATAAAACCCACAGCAGCTAAACCACAGGACACACACAGACACACACAAAAGAGCTTCCAGTCAGAGAGAGTGCGTCACTGTTAGTAGCCATAAAACCGTTATGATGGTCTCTGATTGGACAGAATTTACAATAGGAGGAGGGGACTGGCCACTTTTACAGTGAGTGAGTCGACAAGAAAACATAAAAAAACATAAAATTTAGTTGTGTTACATTTACATCACATTGAATCAGACACTTTTATTCTGAGCGACTCACAATTAAGAGTTATAAAAGCAGTTAAACTAACAATATAGGCAACGCATATTTATTCATTCATTCATTTTCTTGTCAGCTTAGTCCCTTTATTAATCTGGGGTCGCCACAGCGGAATGAACCACCAACTTATCCAGCACATTTTAACGCAGCCGATGCCCTTCCCGCTGCAACCCATCTCTGGGAAACTACGCATATTATTATCACTGAAATATGATTGTTCATTCATTCATTTTCTTTCTGGCTTAGTCCCTGTATTAATCTGGGGTTGCCACAGCAGAATGAACCACCAATTTATCCAGCATATGTTTTACGCAGCGGATGCCCTTCCAGCTGCAACCCATCACTGCAAAATATCCATACACACTTATTCACACACAATCTAGCCTACCCAATTCACCTGTACCGCATGTCTTTAGACTGTGGGGGAAATTAGAGCGCCCAGAGGAAACCCATGGCAAAAACGAGGAGAACATGCAAACTCCACACAGAAATGCCAACTGACCCAGCCGGGGCTCGAACCAGGGACCTTTTTGCTGTGAGGCGATAGCGCTACCCACTGTGCCACCGTTTCACCTTGTTTTTATTAATGTTTTTTAATTATTTTGATCTTTTGAACTATATAGTAACAAATATGGATATAGTTTAATATCACGTTTTTTTTTTAAGAAAATCATAGTTTCTGTGAATTATCAATAAACAGTGGGAGAAATAAGTATTGAACACATCACCATTCTTCTCAGAAAACTTATTTCTAAAGGTGCTGTTGACTTGAAATTTTCACCAGATGTTGATAACAACCAACTAAATCCATATATGCAAAGAAAACAAATCTAATTAGTTTACAAATGAAGTTCTGTGTAATAAAATGAAATGACGCAGGAATAAAGTATTGAACACATGAAGAAAAGGAGATGTAGAAAGGCAGTGAAAGCCAAGACAGCAGCCGAAATCTCTCAGTAGTTCTTTAGCAACCCTCCGCTCTTCCTCATTTCAAATGAGTATAAGCTGCTTCAGTCCAACATTTACATTAGCAGGAGGATTAGGATGAAACCAGGGTGGACATTTCAGCAAGACAATGATCCAAAACACACCCAAGGAAACTCTCAAATCCAATCGAGAATACAAAATAAAGCTCAGATTTGATAGACGAGGCCCACAGAACCATGAATACCATTCTCCATATGAGAGGTGTATATATATATATATTTTTTTATTTATTTATTTATATGAGCTATGCATTAAATGTATTGCAATGCATATTTAAAAATACAGATAAAACCTAAAATATTGGAAATGATAATTATCAAATCTCCATCAAAGTCAGTTCGAGCTTTTATTGGGGTTAGTTATTTCCTGTATGTATTGATATTTTGTTTCAATTGATCCACATCATGCATTACATTTCAGCAGATGTTTGTTTACAAAATCAGGCAAAAAGTACTTAATAACACACACATAAAAATAAATAATAAATACAACCTCAGATTCTATCATTTAAAACAGTGATACCAATATAATTTGATCATTTTGAACATTACTTTATATGTTTGTAACCCAATGTTGGGTCAAACATGGACAAACACAGCTACTGAGTTATAAAAATGTAATTATAATTTTATTTAAAAAATAACCAAACATTTTTAACTATGTACAATAAGCTGAAACAACACAATTCCTGTGTTTTTATCTTGGCCATCTCAATTATTTTATCTTCAATCCACCTAGTTTGTAAAAAAAACATTAACTTAATTTATGCTGGGACATCATGAAGGAGTTGTGTGGAACCCAGCAATTTTTAAAGCATTGGATTCATCTATATTTCATACAAATCCAAAAGTTGGATTCGATGAGATATGAATACCCAACATTTCTTTGAGTGTATTGAAAAATAAAAAGAGGATCAGTAGTGTCACTGAATTATAATAAAGTCTTAATTAACTCAAACCCTGCTTGCCATGTCATCTCAGCTGGAGTCGGAAATATTAAAGCATTGCTAGTTTTCATTTGGCATGACTTCCTGCACTGAGATTCATTCATTAGTGACGCTCACGTCTTCTCAAACTCAAAACACACTCTGTTCTTCACGCTCTGGACAGTCCACTTCGTCCTGCCAGCGGTCGTCCATCCGTCCAAGCACTTAATTAATCCAATTAATGCGCAAAGTTCAGCAAGTGTAAGATACAGTGCAGACCTGAATACATGTCTCTCAAACACACACTAATCCTCTGTAGACCCGGGATGACGACTCTTTTCTCGATTTATCCTTATTAGAGAGACTCTGACGTACACACTTCCACTTCAGTGTTCATTTATCCACTCGCGCTAATCAAAGCAAAGGGTCTTTATTGTCTTAAACTGAGAAACCGTCCTGATAAGGATTTTAGTGATGATATGAGTTCTTGCTGTCGACTGTGCAATGGTTGACATGTGCTGGTATACGCTAAAAACCAAAATGCTGAGTTGTTTTAAGCTAAGTTGGGTCACATGGACAAACTCAACACTGGGTTAACTCTTTTTATTAAATTTAGATTATGCTTTTTAACCCATGGGTTGGGTTTGGGGCGAAGCATTGGCGCAGTAGGTAGTGCTGTCGCCTCTCAGTAAGAAGGTTGCTGGGTTGAGCCTCGGCTCAGTTGGCGTTTCTGTGTGGAGTTTGCATGTTCTCCCTGCGTTCGCGTGGGTTTCCTCAGGGTGCTTCGGTTTCCCCCACAGTCCAAAGACATGCGGTACAGGTAAATTGGGTAGGCTAAATTGTCCGCAGTGCATGAGTGTGTGTGTGGATATTTCCCAGAGATGGGTTGCAGCTGGAAGGGCATTCGCTGCGTAAAAACTTGCTGGATAAGTTGGCGGTTCATTCCGCTGTGGCGACCCCGGAATAATAAAGGGACTAAGCTGATAAGAAAATGAATGAATGAATGAATGGTTGGGTTTGCCCATATTTAATCCAGTGTTGGTTACAACAGCTTTATTATGCTAATTCTATTGAGGTTAAAACTTGGTTAAATCTGTGGTAAAGGGATGTTGTCATATCATGTAGTTTCTGTTTTAACCCAAATGCTGGGTCAAATATGGACAAAGCCAACTGTCTGGTTTAAAAATGTACACTGTAAAAATGCTAGGTTGAATAAACCCAATATTGGATAAATAAGGGACTAATCCAACAGTTAGGCTAAATAATATAAATGTAATTTAATAATAAAAACTTGGCATAATTGACCCGACATTAGGTTAATACAACCAAGCATTTTAAGAGAATACTTTTTAATTTAATAAAAGAAAAAGATATTGAAAACTTTGTTCATCTTTGACCCAATTTTGGTTAAAACAACCCAGCATTTGTATACTATCTGTAATGTGGTGTTCAAATCTTGGTGAAAACAGTGGTTACTGTAAAAAGTGTTGTTGTATCATACACTCTAAATACTGTTGGGGCGTTTTAACCCAAAGCTGGGTCAAATATGGACAAAGCCATCCATTGGGTTTCAAAATGTACACTCTAAAAATGCTGGGTTGATTTAACCCAATGTTGGATACACAAAAACAAACACAAATTAAATAATAAGTTTAATTTAATTAAATGAATAACCCAGTGGTCAGGTTTGTCTATACCAGACACATCGCTAGGACAACCCCCAATTTTTAGAGTATAATTTAAATTTAATAAATTTAATTAAACAACTACTTAGGGTTTGTCCATTTTTGACCCAACATAGAGTTAATACAACCCAGAATTTTTAGAGTATAATTTTTATTTAATAAAACAAAACTGCTTTGGGTTTGTCCATCTTTGATCCAACATTGGCTTAATACAACCCAGCATTTGTAGCGTATAATTTAAATTATATATATATATATATATATATATATATATATATATAAACTTTGGGTTTGGAAATCTTAGACCAAATGTTGGGTTAATAAAATCCAGAATTTTTAGAGTATAACTTTAAATTAATTTAAAAGAACTACTATGGGTTTGTCCATCTTTGACCCAACATTAGGTTAATACAACCCCAGCATTCTTAGAGTATATTTTTTATTTAATTAAAAAAAACATATTTGGGTTTGTCCATCTTTGACCCAACGTTGGGTTAAAACAACAGCATTTATGCAAGTGTAATATAACAATAATGAAATGAAAAGCCACTTAAGTGCACTTGGAAACATTTGCGTATTAAGTATGATGTAATAAATTGTAATTAATCTCAAACTGACATGTTTTAACTAGCTTTGACATGCTAAATCATGCACAAATGTGATTATCCTATATTAAGACAATCAGATAAAGTAAATGTAAGATAGCGGCTAAATATTAGGAGTTATACAGCTTTCCTTTAGCGATACACCCCATTGATCAACATGGGGTTAGAAATGTGTTTCATATTCACCTTATTCTGTGTACAAGTGGGCGCAGCCATTTGGATATTTTTGTCTCGACACTTACGGTCTCACTTCCATTCATTTTTAAACGTTAAAAAAAGCTTGTTATGCTGCTTGATGTTGCAAACTTATATTCTCTCATTAAATTATTTGCTTTGTCTGTATAATCATGCAAACACTTGTGTGTAGAGCAAGCAGTTTGACCATTGCCGTTTGTTATTCCTAGTCATTTCTCCTATAGGCAATTGAATCTGAAGTTCTAAAACAGGGGTGTCCAAACTCGGTCCTGGAGGGCCGCCTTTCTGCATAGTTTAGCTCCAACTTCCCCCAACACACATGCCTGGATGTTTTATTATACCTAGAAACAGCTTGATTAGATGATTCAGGTGTGTTTAATTGGGGTTGGAACTAAAATATGCAGGACGCCGGCCCTCCAGGACCGAGTTTGTACACCCCTGTTCTAAAACAATTGCAAAAACGAGCACACTTCCGCATTGAAGAATAAGGTCAATACTATATATGTTGAAAATGCAATGCTTTTAGAAAAAATTGTTTTTCTCTTAGTTTTTCTGCATTGGAACATGGAACATGGAAATAGAATAAATGTGCACCGTTTTGTGTGAAAGCAGAGGCTTGGTTCTTTGTTTTGATATATACTGTGTTCTTATATTCCTAGAACATTTTGTGAAGGCCGACAAATTTAGGTGAAAATCATCAAATATTGCTGGTAGTGCTTGACAACTTAAAATAAAAAATAAAAAAAAACAACGCTGATGGGGAAGAAGTTATATGTATGCTAATCTGTACTTCCTTTTTACTGGGAAAGTTGTTATAGGCTCTGTCTGGTGGGTAACTTTAAGGTGGGTCTGATTTTGTGAAATACGATGCGGTTCTGATAACATCTATGTTGATCCTGAAATGTAATTTTTCTTCATACTTAATCCCAACCCTAACCTAAGGGGAATGGATAATAGTTGGACAACAGTCATGTAGAAGTACATAACCCTATAACTGTAAGCTTAAACTTCACATAAACTGTAAGCTTGTCCCTTAATTCTGATTGGCTAATTGGAATGTTGTTCCAGGATCAACACAGATGTCCTATTGGATGAAATCACACTGACTATAACTTTAAGTACACACTCTTAACACTAAACTACAGACACACACAAATTTCACTCTGGGTGTCTGTTAAGTTCTGTAGAGCAAAGAAACGTTTCAAGATGTTAAGAAACATCTTCTGAACATTAAGAGTTTTGTGTGTTTTCCTCCTCCTCCAGGAAGATCTGCTCTTCGGAGACAGCAGAGGATCATCAGACGGATTACTTGTAAATACACATGGTGTGTGTGAGCGGCTGATGACCTTGGAGAAGAGCAGGAGGCCGGAAAACTCACACTGAGCAGCAGCACACACTTTTACAGGATTTACAACACGAGTGCAATCCTCCAAAGCGACTCAAGAAGCAGAGAGAGAGATCTCATATCGGTAACACTTTACAATAACATTGTATTTCATGTAGTTACTAACATAAACAAAGGGGAATACGCTTGTTACAGTATTTTTTTTATGTTAGGTTACAGTGCATTAACCAATTTTATTACACGGCTGTCTGGAATTCTCGATTCTGATTGGTTAGTGGTGACAATTCCAAGATATGTTATTCCTAGATAACAACCGCTAAATAACGCAGGCTCATCCAAGAACTTAAAATCACCTGGACTGTAAGTTAATACATTTAAATCCATATCCTTACTTCTAGTGGCGTAGCGTAAAATGCAGGGGCCACCCTGCGGGGATTATTGACATGGCCCTCTGATGAAGAGCCGAGGGGGGTTTGTTCTGGGATGGGTGAGGGGGGGCAAAGCGATCACAAACTGAAGGAAGGGGGGGTGGTGATCATAAACTGAAGAGCAAGGGAAGGGTGGTGGAGTGATCACAAACTGAAGACCATAGAGTGGGGGGGGGGGGTGTAGCGATCACAAACTGAAGACGAGGGAGGGTTGAAGCGATCACAAAATAACGACAGCGGGGGCCCCCTTATCATGTGGAACTTGAAGCCACTGCTTCATATTCATATGCTTGTCTTTCACGCTGCCTTTTTTAACTGTTTGCTGCCTTATTGCGAATTAATGATAAGTAGGTTACTAAATGCTTTATTCAGGCACTTTCGTTTGTGTCAGCATTTCGTTTGCTGTCTGTTTGGTGCCATCTTGTGGCTGAATAATGCGTAGGTTAGTGTATACTCCATAAGCTGTTTGTGTTTCTGTCAGCTTTGCACTTAATTAAACAATCGTTAAATTATTACGGCTCAGAACTACGTTTTGTGTCTACTTTTCATGTTTAAAAAGCCGTGTAATAATCTGCTTATAAGGTACATTCAGCACAGTTATTTAAAGCCTGTAACTATTTTATGTTTTGTCAATTTAGTTCAATCGCTTAATACGAAAATGTACAATTTTAAAAAGTAGGCGTGGCAACAAACCCCACCCCTAAACCTAACCATCATTGGGGGATGAGCAAATCGTACAAAATTTACAAATGATATCGGATGAATTAATTAGAATTAGTCACTAAATCAAAAGTTACGAATTGCCGTGAGATAGCACTGTTATTTTTGCACTCTTTAGTCTTTTATAAATAGTGCTCTGTTTTGGGCTTTATTTTATATCACACATTTACATGTAGTCATTTAGCAGATGATTTTGTTCAAATTGCCATGGCTAAAGCTGACGCGCACCTCTCAAAAAAATTTAACTACACGTCATAACAGCGTGAAGAGCAAGCTCTGTGATTGGTCGGCTTGGTAGCTGTGCAGAGTGTGAGCGGTCCTGAGAGCCAGGCCTGATTGGCTAATCGGGAGGACCGGGAGAATTCCCCGTGGGCCGGTCCGTTTTTTGGCCGCGAGGGCCGGTCTCCCTAGCTCCAGAATCTGTTGCTCTCAGCAGTCACACTTTTTAAAAATAATTTATTTATTTACTTGACCACAGCCTTCTTATTCATTATTTTACCGCAGTTCTGCTCTATTTATCTATTTTTTCGTAGCCTCGTGAGCAAGATGGAGCCTACAGGTTAATGATGATATAACTAGATAAGTCATCGTTCAAAGTACAGCTGTTGTGGTACAGTGGTTAGCACATTAAGATACGACGCCGCCATCCCGGGTTCGGTCCTCCTCAGCGAAACTTTTTTTTTTTTTTTTCATTTTTATTGTTAAGACATATAATGCTGTAAGGGTTGTGAATATTTTAAGTTCTAAAACAGCTGTTTTCTCAAAAAAGACGTGATAGTGTAATTAGAAACTGAATTGGAAATGACCTTATTTTAATATAGTCAGTGGTGAACTGAGGTGGGCCGGTCTAAGGCTGGAAACTCCAGGGCTAAAAAAAGAGTCCCACTCCGGCCCTGCTGAGAGCCACAAACCTGATGGAGCAAATGTTTACAAATGTTGAGTGCCGTGAAGGAGCTCTAGATGGAATTTTTGTTTTATGTTTGCCTTTTTATTTAAGTTGTTGCGCGTTCGCCATTTCCCGCATCTGAATGAGCAAGTTTTAGCTACTTATACATTAAGGTAGCGTTCAGAAAAAACAAAACCTCAGCAAAGAAACTCGACAGAGAGGAACATAAAAAACCTACTGCCAGCTAGCGTTTCAGGAGTGTTACTGAAGAGCAACACAAACAGCACGCAGAATTAAAAATGCGCAGCAAAGCACAAGGCAGGCACCATGGATCAGGGCGATCACTCAACGCAGAAGTATAAACCAGCCTTAAGGAGTTTCTTTTTGACAGAGAGAAAAACATACCTGCCAACATTCCCATATTTCCAGGAGTCTCCAGTATTTCAGACCCATCTCCCGCCACCCTCTTGTTTTGTTGTTTCTCCCGTAATCCTCCCGGACCTCAGCTTTTTGGTACAGTATAAAACAACCCCCGGATCGGCAACTTTGGTATAGTATCTGACTGGTGCACAGTACAGATACTCATCAAACACCTCAACTGACCACCCCCCACCCGCTCACCCCCTTCTCTTCAGTTCGTTAACATTTTTTTAAGCACATGCCCTATGTAAAGTCTCCGCACAGTACTGCCCCCGAGACTGACCCAAACCCCCCTCGCCCCCGGTCTTTCAGAGACAAATGTTGGCAGGTACGGAGAAGAATGTTTCTACAAGTGGTTTGTTAAGCCCACTCACCTGTTTGAGGCATACTCAGAAAATGTATGTTATTCTGCAATAACAACCTCCTGGATGTACTTTATCTCTAACTTGCATGAATTTTAATAACGCATTAGTAAATGTTAAACTACGATACGGTTAATAAATTCTCTACACCAGGGGTGCTCAACCCTGTTCCTGGAGATCTACCTTCCTACAGAGTTTACCTCCAACCCTGATCAAACACACATGAACCAATTTAATAGGACTTGAACAGCACTTGATAATTACAGGCAGGTGTGTTTGCTATGGGTTGCAACTGAAATCTGCACGAAGGTAGATCTCCAGGAACTCTACATGCTCTACATATGTTGGTTCAAGTTAGTAAATATATTAACTAATGAAACCATATTGTAAAGTGTGATCCTAGTATATTCATGCATCCAACAGATATGAGGTCTCCAATATCCTTGAGGAAGACGGCGCTCTTCTTCCTCGTCTGCTTACTTTCGGCATGCAGCGGAACTGGGATCCCAGGTTCGGATTATAACCCTCATCCTCGCTTCATTTGCACACCAATACCTGCAGATGCAGATCCTGGGTGCTTCCCGTCAGCGGGCGGCCCCAGTGCGGGTCACCACAGCGGGCCGAGCAGCGGTGGCAGCAACAGCTGGTGGGGAATTTCAGAAGAAGCCAAAACCACAATCCTGCATCTGCGGGAGAGTTTAGTCCAGCAGAAAGAAACCATCCTGGACCAGAGGGAGACCATCCGAGAGCTCACTGCTAAACTGAATCTATGCGAGGGCTTTAATCGCGGGGTGGGCAACCATGATGACCATCCGCATCGCACACCGACACACCTGGCACACCATGCACATCATGCTTACCCCACTGCACCGGAGCCTGGGCACCTAGCGTGGGCACCGCCACCCGACGCTCATCATGGTGGCCACGGGCTGGAGCTCGGCCACTACGGGGATGCAGCGCATCATCGTGGGAAGGCAGCAGTGAGCGAGAAGCATGTGACAGGGGAGATTCCTTTACTGTCCTCTACACCGGAGCAGATGAGCAGGATGCTGGAGACACTGAAGGAGCGCCTGGAGAACCTGCAGGTACACAAGCTTAGGGCAAGATTAAAATAGTTTTGGATTTTTCATTTGTTTTAGTTTTTATTTCGTTTTGACTTTTTGTTTTCAAGTTCAGTTAGTTTTAATTAGTGTTTAGAGGCAGATTTGCTAGTTTCTATTAGTTTCTATATTTTGAAATTGCTTACTTTTAGTTTAGTTTTTATTTGTTCCAGTGTGAGTTTTAGTTTTTTTTTTTGTTTTTTTTTTGGAAAATTAGGATATTTGTTAGGTGCAAGATTCAAAATCATCAGAATAAATACTGTGTAATAAAAACTCAACCAAAGATGAGCTATTTTTTTGAGACAAGAACACTATCCACCACTATCATCTACCCCAAATACAGTATGTGTGCAAGGCTGCTTCTGGGGTTAGATACACAGTAGTGATGGAAAGTTCAGATCTTTAACCCAAACTGCCCGCAGAAGCCTTGCCCATGACGCTAATCAGCGTCTGCTGTTAAGTGAATTTGATGCGTGAATGAAGCGGATTTGACACGCGAATGAAGCGTGTAAAGTCAAAATGTTTACATGGCTATTTACTAGAGGTGTGAACCTATACTGGTCTCATGGTTCGGTTCGGTTAAAATTATCATGCCTTCGATTCGGTTCAATTCGATATCTCGGTGCATCACGGTGCATTGACGATGCTTTCCCTACACAGTATTATATTTTAGGGGGGAGGCTATAACATGCTGTCTGTATAAACACACAGACACACAGCACCACACTGTCTCTCATTCAAACACATACACACACACAATTAAGCCCTCGCAACAGGGAGAGCTAGAGCTGAGCTGAGCAGAAAAACGAAAAAAAAAAAAAAAAAACGAAAAAAAGAAGCACTTTTCCGACGGTCCCTTAGTGAGAGCTCCTCTCAGCGCGAGCTCTCCCGGCTAAACGCATGTTGCGAGGGCTTAAACGGAGCAGTGCTAGTAATGTTGAGCGAAAAAAAAGAAAAAGACAGCTGTGAAACATAACCAGCTTTGTCTTTTTGTAGGAAACACACTTTAGATCTTTTTAGGGTAAGACTTTTTTGAGTTAATGCCGTCTGTCTATAACTGAATGTGTGTCAGAAATATCGGAAACAAAACCAACTGAACCGCGCTCATTTCTGGCGTCCCCCTGGATGTACAGCGCCCTTAGCATTTGCCTATGGTGCCAATGCCACGGGCCGGCCCTGAGTTGCCTGAGTGTTATAAATACCCGCGCTCGAGACAGAGCGCGTAGGAGATAAATGACGTCAGTAATAACCGGTTAGGATTATTACTAAACCGATAACGAATTGTCCGCGTCTGCATCGCGGTGCACCGAAGAAACAATTAATTTTGACACCCCTACTATTTACACATGAATAGAGCGATTTATCTGCGCATTCTGCGTCTGGTGTGATCACAGCATAACAGAGTTATGAGTTTTAAACCGCGGTAAATCTTGAAACTACAGTAGTTATCGTCCCATGACGATAACTAACGTTCCTGTGATTGTGTTTGCAGACGAGAAACACGTCGGCCAGCTACTCCAGTTCCCTGAAGGATCTCCTGCAGAGGAAGATCAGCGCTCTGGAGCAACAGATGCAGCATCATTCGTCTCCGCTGACGGGTGCATCTCACACTGACCACACCGAGCATGATGACGGTCACCATGATGACGATGATCATGATCATGGGCATCACGAGGATGGCCATGACGAAAGAGACCACGGCAATCCTCACGACGACAGCCATCACAGTGATCGCCATGAGGACGGTCACCACGATGACGACCATGATGACGGTCACCATGACAACGACGACCATGACGCCGGTCACCACGACAACGGGGATCATGATGATGATCACCACGACAATGGTCACCACGACAATGAGGTTTCCGAGCATGGCTTCGAGAGGTTGTTGTATAACCCACAGGGACACCGAGAGTCGCAGACTGGAGCTCACAGCAAACTGGACGCGGTTCTCAATCAGCTGCAGCACAGGCTTACTGAGGGTAAGAGTGTGATAAAAGAGTCATCATGCGATCATGCGAGCTTGGCCAGTCAGACCAGTTCCTTAACTGCTTTTTAGTGGGAGATTTCACACAACATCGCTATCAACTGCAAACAGAAAACCTTTTATGCAGTTTGGGGACTGAATCTAAAAACTTGTTGAATAAAAATGTGTTTAAAAGTTTTTGAAAATGATACTGGTATTATTTTATCCAGGGGTACCCAAACTCTGTAATGGAGGGCCGGTGATATGCAGAGCAGTGGGTACCTACCATGGGAGGGCGGAAAATAATGCTGCTTATAATTTATTTATTTGTTACTTAATTTAAATTGATTCTTAAACAGTATATACTGCAGCTGCCTGCTTTTCCACTATCGTGCCAAATCGTTCTAAGAACACTTCGGTATGGTTACGATTGTTTCTCCACTGAGCCTGGAACGGCACATCACGATTACAAACCACTTTCGGCCTGGAATTCTCCACACGGAACTGTGCCGACAGATTGTGTGTGCTGACGTCGCGGCTCTGTTGCCAAGCTACCACAGCTGGCTCAACGGAAGCGCTTGCTAGTTATCAGACATCCACATGTGAACTACACTATTTAATATTTAAAAAATGATCCTGGTCTAAACGATACAGTTTTGAAAAGGGTTTTAAAACCATAGAGCAGTCTCTGGTAGGGAATCACTGGCCCACCACATTCTTGCGAACATTCATTCAATCATTCATTTTCTTATCGGCTTAGTCTCTTTATTGATCCGGGGTCGCCACAGCGGAATGAACCGCCAACTTATCCAGCAAGCTTTTACACAGCCTACCTGCCACAACCCATTTCTCTGAAACATCCACGCACGGATGTTTTCCTGTGTGTAGAAAGTGTGGCCACCCTTGGTCTAAGCTGTAAAGAGGGTATTGTTGGAATATTGTCCTCTATTCCATGCGTGTTCAATTCAAACTCAGGAGAAATTGTTCAATGCTTAAAAGATTAGTAATTTATTGAATACAAATGAACAATTCGATGTTCAGAGCTCTGGGCATACACCAAGATAGTCTAGCCGTTATACAATGCTAACCGGGACTAACGTCAGGTGCTCTGCCCTGCCCGGTGTCTAGAAACCCAGTTTTATAGACAGAAGGAGTAAAGAGGGTGAGTTCCGGGCTGCTCCTCTGCATATTTGGTATTTCCTCCTTCACCATTCTCTTTCTGCACAGAAGATTTGTGTAGTTAATTGCACCTTTTACATATTTCACAACTCGTGACAACCATACCCTTCTTGTGACCCTGCACATCTTTTTTGGTAGAGAGGAAGTCGGGACCAAGCCCCCCCCTCTTGCAATATCTTGCAGCCAATTTCCCTTGTCAGCACCCACATAGCAAAATTTCTCTGGCCCAGCTCTGGCCCACACAATCAGGTTTTGCTTGGCCCACATGCCGCAGTGAATTACGGTACATGACTGGACCAAATCTGGCTTCCAGACAAGGGCCAAACACGGACTATATCTGGGCCAAGTCTCAGCCAAGTTAATAACTCATAACTGGGCCTGAACTGGGCCAGATGGGTTGGTGTGTCACGGTTGCAATGAAATTGATAAACCCATGGAGTGATGCTCTTTAGGCACACTATGGGCACGCTTTTTCTCAAAGTGACCTGATTGGTAGATTTTTTTTTTCTTTACTCAAAAATTATTTTAGTGTATTTTAAATGTGGGTCAAGACTGGCCAAACTCACATGGCCCACTTATCAAATTTTTAAATCTGGGCCAAATACTACGTTTTTCATCTGGCCCAAATCTTGTGTGTCGCCTTAAAGACGGTGCCACCTCTGCCAAACCCGGGCCATGTTTGGCCCACATGCTGTATGCCAGTGCCGGATGAATGCCTGCTGTGCCAGCTTTTTGCCAAATCTGGGCCAGAATTCTTTGCTACTAGGGCAGAACTTTAAACAAAATGTTCCAGTACATGACCCCATAATAAAAGAAGAACTTTAGTTCGTATAACATATCACATAACGAGAAAAAGATTGGTTAATCAGTTGCTAGTCAAAACCTTTTTTCTAATGAACACAATCAATGTATTTGTGTATTAGTCTATTAGTCCATGATTTATATATGTTCCAAAAAATATGAAGAGATTTAATGTAAGTAACATAAGGTGTATATAAGATTTTCTTTAGTTTTCCTCCAATAGTATAATAAAACAAAATCCTATTTGAACAACTGGATAAAGAGCCAGTTCACCCAAAAAATTATGTCAAATTATGTGAATTATATCAAAGTTTAGAATCACATGACAGTGTGGAAATGGTGAGGATTTTTTTTCTTTGGTGAACTGTCCTTTTAGGGCACAGGTGTCAAACTCCTCGTTCCTGGAGGGCCGCAGCTCTGCACAGTTCCAGTCCTAATCAAACACACCTGATCAAAGTAGTTGAGTGCTTCAGGCTTGTTTGATACCTACAGATAGGTGTGTTGAAGCAGGGTTGGAACTAAACTCTGCAGGGCTGCAGCCTTTCAGTAATTGAGTTTGACATCCCTTCTTTAAGGCAATCTTAACAAAGAGCCAGTATGAATAAATCAGACCCCAGGACTGGAGACTGCAATAAATGCTATAGTTTCTGTCTTGTTTCTAGTCCAAATATCAAAAAATCCTTAAATCAGGAAGCACTTTATAAACAAGCAACACATATTATCTTGTATTTGTCTCACCTCACAGGTCCCCGAAAGAAGACTAAATCTACTGAGGCCTTCCAGATCGGCTTCCCCATGAGAACCAACTACATGTACGGCCGTGTGAAGCGCACGCTGCTGCACGAGATCTTCTCCTTCACGCTGTGTCTGTGGATGAAGGCTGGCATCGGCCCGGGCCTCGGCACACCCTTCTCTTACTCTGTCCCGGGTCAGGCAAATGAACTGGTGCTCATCGAGTGGGGAAACAACCCCATGGAGCTGCTGGTGGACGACAAAGTGAGTCAAAGACGAGCTAATATCAGAGCTCTTACACCTTTTCCAAAGTGAAATTTAAAGTCCGCATGAAGCTGCGACCATTTTATTGTTCACATTGTGACACAGTTCCTAGAGAAACGGAATATTAAATAAGAAAACAGTGGGCGTGGCTTGTCTTTTCTATCGCGAGCTGATTGGATGTAGTAAAGTAGGCATTTCTTTCAGAAAGATCAGGCAAAGGGTTTCAGGAGAGTTATTACAACCTGACAGACACCTCGTGCTCATCATTTCTGTTTGTTGTCAAAACTGACAGTTGGAGGGGGCGTGGTTAAGTATATTAGCCCCGCCCAATACGTCAGACAGACTCAATCTGAGGAAGTACATTTTCAGATTTCAATTTTAGATTACAAGGGCAAACAAGAGCATTTTACAAGCTCACACTTTAAAATGTCTTCAGTTTAAGGGCTCTACTAAATATAATTCAATATATGATAAAACAAATTTTGTTTGTCTAGTCGGATCTTATATGAACCTTAAAGGATTTGCATGTAATCCCATTTGGACCACTGAAGATTTGTTCGTTAAATAGATTCCTGACTAGACAAATGAAGGATATGTGGTCAAACCGAGACACTTTTTCAGCACCGTTTATTAAAAAATACATTCTCATTTTTGCCAAAGACTTTTTGTTAAAGGTCCCATGAAGTGCTGTATATACAACTGTATATATAAACAGTTGATGTCAGAATTATTATCTCTCCTGAATTATTGGCCCCCGTTTATTTTTTCCCCCAATTTTAAGTTTAGCGGAGAGAAGATTTTTTCAGCCCATTTCTAAACATAATAGTTTTAAAAACTTATCTCTAATAACTGATATAAAATATATATATAAAAATATTATCAGACATACTGTAAAAATTTACTTGCTCTGTTAAACATAATTTGGGAAATATTTCATTCATTTTCTTGTCGGCTTAGTCCCTTTATTAATCTGATGTCGCCACAGCGGAATGAACCGCAGCGGATGCCCTTCCAGCCGCAACCCATCTCTAGGAAACATTCACACACACATTCACACACACACTCATACACTACGGGCAATTTAGCCAGCCCAATTCACCTGTACCGCATGTCTTTGGACTGTGAGGGAAACCGGAGCACCCGGAGGAAACCCACACGAAGGCTCCACACAGAAATGCCAACTGAGCCGAGGTTCGACCCAGCAACCTTCTCTCTGTGAGGCGACAGCACTACCTTCTGCGCCACTGCTTCGCCCAATTTGGGAAATATTTTAAAAAGAAAAAAAAATCAAAGGGGGCTAATAACTCTGACTTCAACTGTAAATATATTTACTTTATGACAACAGAAAAATGTGTCAAGAAATGAGTGTTTAATTGAGATTTGTTTTAATCTTTTTCTCTGTGTGTGTGTGTGTTGTCAGGCGGTCACTTTACCGCTGTCGTTGAGTGATGGTAAATGGCACCATGTGTGTGTGACGTGGTCAACGCGGGACGGTCTGTGGGAAGCCTATCAGGATGGGGTGAAGAGAGGATCTGGAGAAAACCTCTCGCCGTGGCATCCCATCAAACCCGGAGGAGTCTTCATACTGGGACAAGAGCAGGTAGACACACAGAACACCAAACACACCTTTGACTTGCATTGTGGCAATATGTCATACTATTAATTTAATTGAAACCTTTGCTAAAAAATATGTATAAACATAACATTTTAGTGTACTTTAAGAGTTCAGAGTAAAACCATTTTAAAATATATATTTTATTCTGTCAAGTACTGATGACATTTCATCTAAAATATTTAAAATTTATCATGTTTTTGCACAAAATACCAAAGTGGCACATTTGTAGACATGTTTATTTTAAGTTCAACAAAATTCCAATCCTTTAAGAAATAAACTTTTGGTTAAATAATTTTATTCTTAATTTTTATAATCATTTATTTATTAATTTTTAATCACAACTAATGGAAACAATTGCTATTGTGATCATCAATTCTTTTTCTAAATGACTTGTTTTTATATCAAATGTTTTCAGAACTTGAATAAACCAAATATTAGCAGTTTATTTAAACCTAATAAATTCAACCAATTCTGAGATAGTGGTGTTACATTTTTTACCATAGTTGTACACTACCTGACAAAAGTCCTCGATCACAATTGTAAGAGCAGCAAATAATAACTTGACTTCTAGTTGATCAATTGAGAAAAATGTCAGGAGGTAGATTTTTACGATGAATCATCTGTTGAACTGCATCCCAATCATCACAAATATTGAAACCCGCATGGACTCAAGATTCTCACAGAAATCAGTCAAGTTTGGTGAAGGAAAAATCATGGTTTGAGGTTACATTCAGTATGGGGTAGTGCGAGAGATCTGCAGAGTGGATGGCAACATCAACAGCCTGAGGTATCAAGACATTTGTGCTGCCCATTACATTACAAACCACTGGAGAGGGCCAATTCTCCAGCAGGATAGCGCTCCTTCTCATACTTCAGCCTCCACATCAAAGCTCCTGAAAGCAAAGAAGGTCAAGCTGCTTCAGGATTGGCCAGCCCAGTCACCATACATGAACATTATTGAGCAAGTTTGGGATAAGATGGAGGAGGCATTGAAGATGAATCCAAAGAATCTTGATGAACTCTGGGAGTCCTGCAGGAACGCTTTCTTTGCCATTCCAGATGACTTTATTAATAAGTGATTTGAGTCATTGCAGAGATGTATGGATGCAGTCCTCCAAGCTCATGGGAGTCATACACAATATTAATTTTTTTCACCATGACTTTATATTCTATACTGGACATTATTTCTGTTGAGTGACAAGACTTTTGTCTAAGAAAAGTCAGATCTTACTGTTCTTATTAAACAATTAATAATCAAAGCATGATGATATTTTATTTTGCTAAAATAAATGTAATCTAGAGGCCTTTTCCTGTCATATAAGCCCCTTCTGATACCAAATGATCAACTAGAAGTCAAGTTATTATTTGTTGTTCCTAAAACGTGGATAGGCGACAAGACATATGTCAGGTAGTGTATATTTAAGTATGTGCAGCAGTTCCCATAGAAAATACGATAACACTTTACAATAAGGTTCATTAGTTAATGCATTGACTAACATGAACTAATCATGAACAACACATGTACAGCATTTATTAATCATAATTGAACATTTACTAATGCATTATTAACATTCAAGTCTGTTCTTGTTAACATTAGTTAATGCACTATGAGTTAACAAACTCACAATGAACTACTGTATTTTCATCAACTAACGCTAACTAACATGAACAAATACAGAAGAAAATGTATTGTTCATTGTTTGTTCATATTAGTAAATGCATTAATTAACATTAACTAATGAACCTTATTGTAAAGTCCATATTATGATTAAACTCTCTTGAATCTGCTCTGTGTTACCTCCTGCAGGACACTCTGGGTGGGCGTTTCGACGCGACGCAGGCATTCGTAGGTGAAATTTCGGATGTGCAGATGTGGTCTCAGGTCCTCACTCCTCATGACGTCTATAGTCTGGCCTCCTGCGGCGGTCACATGACCGGTGACATCATCGCTTGGTCCGAGGCCACTGTGGAGCTGCACGGCGGTGTCACCAAATACCCCTTCGACCCCTGTCACTGAACCCTCTGTTTTACCAGCCCGATCTCACAAGGAAACTATTTTACGTTTTGTCAGTTTAATGGCTAATTCAAGTTCAGTCATATGAAAATGTGTGAAAAAAAAAGAGGCGTGGCACCAAACCCCGCCGCTAAACTCAACCATCATTGGGGAGGAGCAAATCATACTAAATACTACAATAAGAATTCAAAAAGTTATGGATTGCTGTGAGATTGTGTTGGTTTTACAGCATCCAGAGCTGCTTTACTGCAGCAAATCCATCCATAACCACTTCAAAAACATTGCCTTCTGTTTACCGTGACACTTGAATGACCCCTTGACCTCCAGGATTTCAACAGGGACCTGTTTTCTACTGTTTTGTGTAGCTGATTTGTAGTTTTCTTACTGATTTTTTTTTTGTTTGAATTTGTATTCTATAAATGGCAGTTCAGTGTCATTTATTGTCATAATGCAAGTATATGACATATTGTCATAACTTGGATAGAAAATTGTAGTTAATAAGTAGATTTTAGCCCTCCAAATATTTCTTAAGTGATATTTATCAGAGCAAGGCTATTTTTCACAGTGTTTTTATATCTTTTTTTTCTTCTAGAGAAAGAATTATGTCTGGAATGTTTAAAAAAAAAACAGTAAAAACCACTGTGGTCAATATAATTAGCCCCCTTAAAAAATGTATTTTCTTCAGATTGGATACAGAGCAAATCACTGATGTCCAATTAACCTTGCCCAGTTAACCTAGTTAAGCCTTTAAATGGCACTTTAAGCTGAATATTAGCATCTTGCAACATAACGCCACAGTCACACTAAAGTTTGAGCTTGCGAAATTCTGTAGTGCGGCGCTGTGACAAGGGGCAGGATTAAACAAGATGATTAGACGTTTAAGAAAGGAAGCGATTGGTCCATATATTCAATTTCAGTCCAGAGGGGTCATGTTTTGATCTTTGATTGGTCTCACACAGTCTTGTGATGCGATTTTGCAGGTCAGAGTTCACCAAGCTTGATCTTTGCAGCGCAGCGAACTGCGAAACTTGTCGCACAAGCTTGCGTTTCCGCTCTGACGCATTCATGTGTGTAAGTTTATGGGGAGAAAAGTCCAATGTGACCGCAGCTTTACTTGTAAAATATTATGTACTGTCATCATGGCAAAAACAAAAGAAATGAATTATTAGAATTCAAGAGTTCTCACTTAGATGTGCTTAGCGTTTATAGCAGGTTTGGCACTCTGTCCGGGAGAGAACCCTGAGCTTGGAGATACTTGAGCCCAAGGCTCCCACCCAGTCAATAAGCATATAAGGGGATCTGAGATCAGGGAGGCCTCGAGAGCTCCCCTTAGAAAACGGAGGAAAAGGAGGAGATGGGGTGGGAGGAGGGATTCTTTCAAAAACGAAGATAAATCAGCAGGGAGAAAACAATCTATTAATTGTAAACTAGGATCGCTCTGATTGGATTATTACTGATTACAGATGAGAAACTAGTCGTGCTCAATCATATCACATGCTCCTCTCGAAATCAGATCCCCTTATATGCTGCCCAGTTGGTGGAATGAACTCCCTAACTGCATCAGAACGGCAGAATCACTTGCCGTCTTCAAGAAACGACTAAAAACTCAACTATTTAGTCTATACTTCACTTCCTAATCTGCAATTGCCTCTCTGGCTATACCACTAACTGTACTCAAAAAAAAAAAAAAACTTACATTACTAATGCTTTCCTTCTTAGACTTTACACACCTGCACTTATTCATTGTTGCTCTTATGGTTGTGTAAATAGCTTCCTTGTCCTCATTTGTAAGTCGCTTTGGATAAAAGCGTCTGCTAAATGACTAAATGTAAATGTAGTTTATGAACCTTTTTTTTTCTCTAAATCTCTGCTAAACATCACTTGGAAAACACTTAAAAAAAGAATTGGTGGGCTAATGATTTTGTCTGTAGTGCTGAAAATGTAGATGTCTATTATAGAAAGAAAAGCAAAGATTTGTTTTCTTGTATAAGAAGAAGAATCTAAAGATACAGCGAAACCAAAGAGAAGATTTAGAGCAGATGATGAGCCACACGCACTGCTGTCTGTACAGTTTTTGTCTAATTAAATGTGTTTATAGGTTTAACTTCACTTGTCCGGATCTTACCTGTGAAATAAGCACCTATTCTGACAATAAAACTAGGGTATTAATCAATAGTAAATTTAACATTAAGTAGAAAGCAACACATTTTAAATGGAAAGTAGAGAAATGTTGCGTTCCAGTATTCGGTTTCATGTTCAACTCTAAGAAACTGTTTTGTACAGTGTGTTCTGGAGTTTTTTTTTTTTTTATGATTTGGTTTTTAGATTTTGTCGTCGTTGATTTGACTGTATTAATCCTCTGTGATTATTGATTTTAAAAATGTATGATTTTTACTGTAATGTTTGTGCATTTGATTTGAATTGACTGTTTATTGTTTGTTTTTTATTTGTTTACAGTTCTGAAATCAGAAATGCAATAAAGGCACTGAATTTTGAAAGAAAAAAGTCGAGTTATTCTAAGAGAAAAAATAAAATCTGTCAACTGGTCATTTTTTTTTTATATGTGTTTTATAGTGATTTATATGTTTTTGAGATTCGCAAGAAACAAATAGACATCCTGTGACGCGAATGATGCGATTTGCGCGAGTGAAACGGCGCGAGTTGATCGTTTTGACCATTTAAAAGTCCACTTTAACAATTTTTATGCCCTTAAAACTGAATTGAAATCTGTGATTGTGTATAATATTAGAAGTAAAGCTGTAATTTCTCCAGTGGTTCAGTATTGATCAGATGGAGTCTCTCAGCTCTGTCTTATAGGCTGATCTTCTCTGCTATTATTAGAAACTAAGCCAGTTAATCATTTGAAGCAGACACTAAACTCAGTCCAGCAACTCCTAATGTTTAAATGTAAAGCCTGCTGATCAATTTCAGAATTCATAATACATTTTGTAACTTACTTCATTTATTCATTTCTTCTTTTGTTCCTTCTTTCTTTCATTTGTTCCTTTCATTCTTTCCTTTGTTCATTTGTTTGCACTTTCCTTTCTTTGTTTATTTGTTCATTCCTTTTTCCTTCGTTCTGTCCTTCTCACAATCATTCTTTCGTTTGTTTGTCCGTTTCTTTGTTCATTCATTCATTCCTTCCTTCATTCCTTCTTTCATTCGTTTGTCCGTTCCTTTGTTCGTTCATTCATTCCTTCCTTCATTCATGGTTTCCTTATGGTCCTTCCTTTGTTCATACCTCCATTATTCATCCGTTTCGTCCTTTGTTCGTTCATTCCATCTTTTGTTCATTCTTTCCTTTTTATGTTCCTTCCATCAGTCTTCCTTTTCTTCCTTCTTTCCAACATTCCTTAATTTCTTCCATCATTCATTACTTACTTCTGTTGTTCCTTCCTTCCCTTCTTCGTTTGTTCATTGTTTCCTCATGGTCTTTTGTTCATTGATTCATCCGTTACTTCCTTTGTTCAATTATTCCTTCTTTTGTTTGTTCTTTTCTTCTTATGTTCCTTCCATCCTTCTTACGCTACTTCCTTTCTTCATTCATTCCTTTGTTCCCTACTTCGTCCATCACATTCTTCTTTTGTTCCTTCCTTCTTTTGTTCGTTTGTTTATTCCTTCCTTTCTTCATTTGTTTGTTCATTCTTTCAAACATTCTATCCTGTTTACATTACTTTGTTTTCGCTCGTTCATTTGTCCGTCCCTTTCTTTGTTTGGTCATTAATTCCTTTAGTTCTTACGTTCATTCCTTCCTTCCTTTGTAATCTTTAAACTAAATGTAACTCCTCCCAATATTTGCATTCTTTTGTGTATCAAACATTGTGGCTACACTAAAATATTTGTATGCTGTCACAGTTTTAGAAACACCAGCAAAAAAAATTATTAAACAAATAAAAATCAACCAATACTGAAGCATTAGAAATTCTTCATTTAATAAAAAACAAACCAAAAAAAAAAACATTTATGTTGATTCATTCATTTTTCTTCGGCTTAGTCACTTGTTTATCAGGGGTCGCCACAGCGGAATGAACCTCTAAATATTTCAGCATATGTTTTAAATGGCGGATGCCCTTCCAGCCGCAACCCACTATTGGGAAACAATCATACACTACGACCAATTTAGCTTATTCAATTCACCTAGCATGTCTTATATAATGCTATACTATATTATGCAGTCGTAACGTGTCCCACCCAAGAGGTCAATTTAAAAAAGTATCATAGTACACTTTTCTTTAAAATAAAATAATAAAAAAAAAGATTTGTGCCCCGTTTTAGTCTCTATTCTTTTAAATCTCTATTCCGCTCACTGAGTTTTTTTTATTCACTGAAACACAAAAACGACAACGACAATAGTCAATCAAGTAATCAATCAAGTAAAATTCATACAATTAAAAAACATTTTGACTTTTTATTCCTGGGTTTATTAAATGTGCTTTAATAAATAAAATGTATTTACTTGACATGTTTTATTTTAATTAAAAAACTATTTCAACTTGAATGAGATGAACTGTTAGACTTGATGGAGTGGCACTGGACTGCATTGGTTTCCTCGTTGCGTTAAGGGAAGACTGAGAATAATGAGGTTAAGCGGCTCTAATCTTTCTGGTTATCAGTCAGGAAATGAGCTAACAGGCTAAAGCAGAGCTGGAATAAAACAACAACATACTTATTGACCTACTGTACAAACACAAACAGAAAAAACTGTATTGAAATGTGGACAAAATGATTTTAATTCGCTAAAAAAATTGCCAGTGGTGCTTTCCTCAAATGGCGGAGCTGACTGTGCCCCTTTCTGAAAAATGTTCTTAGAATTTAGACATTCTACACATGCCACTCAGTGATACAATGTACAGTTCTTGCTTTATTACGTAAATATAAGCTGGCACATGTTTTAGCAATCCTACTGCTCTACATTTCTTTCAGACGCATAAAAATGTAAAATTAATCCAGCAAAAACTATAGAAAAACTGGAATATTTCTTTGAAAACAAGATTTAGTAAACAAAATGAACAGATTTGTAACGAGAGAGAAAGAGAGAGAGAGAGAGAGAGAGAGAGAGAGAGAGAGAAAGAAATAAAACTATAAATCATGGATCTGGGTGCTATATGTGGGAAATTTTTGTTTACTTCCTTAATTAGTTCCTTTATTCAATTGTTGCTTCCTTCGCTTGCTCATAAGTACCTTCATTCATTCTTTCCTCCCTTCACTTCCTCAGTTCGTTCATTTGTTCTTTTCTTCCATCGTTTCTTTGTTTGTTTGTTTGTTTGTTCTTCAAAATGAGCAAGTTTGAACCACTTTTACATTAAAGAAGAGTTGAGAAAAAACAAAACACCAGTGAGGAAACTCGACACAGAGGAACATAAACACCTACTGCCAGCTAGTGTTTCAGAAGTGTCAGAAGAGAGAAACAGCGCACAGAAGTAGAAATGCACGGCTACGGGCATTGCATGTGCTGTAGGTCACGCGGATCACTTAAACCAGAAGTATAAACCAGGCTTTAGTTCCTTTTTTCCTTCTTTACTTTCTTCCCTCCCTCATTAGTTCATTCCTTTATTCCTTTCTTTGTTTGTTTGTTTGTTTCTTGCTTCCTTCATGTCTTCCATCCTTCTTTCGACCCTTTCTGTTTTTTACTTCATCCCTTTGGTGGTTTGTTCCTTCTTTTGTTTGTTGATATTTGTTTCCTCCCTCATTAGTTTCTTTCTTCATTCGTTCTTTCATTCCTTCCTTCCCTTCGTCTTTCAATCGCACTTTGTTCCTTTCCATCTTTTTTTTACTTCTTTAGTTAATTTCATCTTTCGTTCAATCTTTCCTTTGTTTGTTCAAACCATTGTTCCTTTCCATCCCTTGTTCATGACTTCTTTCACTCCCTTTCTTTTGTTCTTTCTTCCCTCCCTCGTTTCTTTCTTTGTTTGTTTGTTCCTTGCTTCCTTCATGTCTTCCTTCCTTCTTCCGACACTTTCTACGTTCCTTGTTTCATCCCTTTCCTGGATCATCCTTCCGTCCTTGGTTTGTTGCTTCCTTCCTTTGTTTCCCCCCTCATTAGTTCCTTTCTTCTTTCGTTCTTTATTCCTTCCTTCTTTTGTTTCTTCCTTCTTTCATTCACACTTTTCTTTAGTTAATTTCTTCTTTTGATCCATCTTTCCTTCGTTTGTTCATTCCATTGTTCCTTTCCAGCCTTTGTTCGTTACTTCTTTCGCTCCATTTCTTCTTTTGTTCTTTCTTTCCTTCCATTATTTGTTCCTTTTTTCATT